GAATATAATTATTTAACATTAAAACATATGTGGCATTAAATATCTTGGCACTTTTTGAAAACAGTGTATTAGTTTTTTAAATAAAAATTGAAGTACACAATTATAAAGTAAAAGAAAAATATGAACTTAAATTTTTTTGAGTATTTAACCTGTCGTATATTAATAAGTACCACCAAAAATATCGGAATCATAACTTAGATATCAACGAGAAAATTTGAAAAATGTAATATAATTTTAAAAATGTAATCTAAAGGGAAAAATTTGAAAAAAAAAATTGTAAAAAAATTTGAAAAATGTAATCTAAGGAATTCGAAGAGATGAATAATAAAATTTTAAAATGACGCGGCAATGCACAAATATTCAGTAACAAATCAGGGAGCTGATTACAGCTCGTTAATGCACAAATATTCTGTAACCAATCAGGGAGCTGATTACATCACGATTAGAATTAAAATTATTTAAAATCATACATAATAAAATCATTTTTTAAAAAATGCAAAATTTAATTGTATTTTAATATTTAACAGCCATAAATAATGTTTAAAACATTAGATTAAATTTATAGATATTAAAACTAATTACTTTTAAAGTAAGGTGACATCATTCATTACATCATCCACAACATAAAATATCATAAACAATAAAATTTTTATTTCAAATAAAAATGCAAAATTAAATTGATTTTTAATATTTAGAAGCCATAAATAATATTTAAAACGCGGAATTTATGCATAATAAAACGCATTATTTTTTAAATAAAATGAGAACAAAGTATCGGTTACCATAAATAACTTGTCTAGCAATGGGTTTAACATAAGTCATATCGCTCGCCAAAAAAAAAAAAAAAAAAAAAAAAAAAAATCGTTAAAATCCGTGCAACCGTCTACCAAAGTAGCACCGCAATAAAAGTTATCGTATTTTATAAAGAATGCCACTTTTTCATATCTTTTTTCCAGATCATGTGAAGCATTTATGTTCCTTTGAAGGCACAGAGAACGCCAGGACGATGAAACATTGAGGAGAGAGCTACAACTGCAGCAAGATTTGAGAGGTGGTTGGCTATAACTCAGGTCCAAAGGTGGTGGAGGGATCGATATGGGAGGCAAAGGCAATTAAAAATTGCCACAGAAATTTAATGAATGACTACCGGAAGTGTCGTGGACATTAAGAGTTCAGGTAGGTTCTCGACTTTGATATCAGATGAAACGATTGCCCCACAGACGGAGAAAGAATTCAAAATCAAGAAGGCAGGCTGAAAGACAGAGTGGCAATTCTCCACTAAGAGTTACATTACACACCAAGAATGCCTTATTATGCCCAAAATTTGTATTTAGATGATTGCGGTGTTGAATTTTGCTAAATGGTACTCGCATGGCATGAAGATCATCCACACCTATTTAAAAAACGTTCTGTGGAGTGATGAAGCTGTGTTTCATGTAGGAATTCGTTAATCGGCACAATAGCCATTATTGGGCAGAAGGCGGATTTCAATAAGTGCTTTGAAAAAAATGCAGAACAAACCGAAAGTGACAATGTGGAGTGGATTAACTTCCTCCCGCATTATTGGACCCTATCTACTAAGAGACACTATAAATGCTGAAAGGTACCTGGAAATGTTAAAAACTTTTGTACGGCCTACAATTTCTGAATGGGACGAGTTATATGAGCTGTTATGTATGCAAAATGGAGCGCTTCCCCTTATTACGCCATGTCTATAAGACAATGAACGCTTCGCAGACGCTGGATAGGTCACCATGGTCCCAAAAATGTCCAGCGCGAAGTCCAAACCTTATCCAGGGTTCGTAGCTACATTTTAGTTAAAAAAATAAGCACCTATAAGCACTTTTCAAGCACATTTTAAGGAAAAAATAAGCACCTGTCTAATTACATTATACACAACTGCATAACCTTAAAAGAAAAATTAGACTTGTAATTTAAAATATGACCAATGCAATATTTATTAAGAGAATGAGCATTACTTCAACCATGGAAAACAATTAACTTTTTTTTTAAATTTTAAATGACAGTTCAATTTACAGAATTAGTTTACAATGAGAAGAAAAAAAAAACTATGCAGAACTAAACTATATTACAAGATTTAATGATGAAATTTCAGTTCAAAATATAGAAAATAAATAATAATAAGCGATATTAATTGTATTCGTTTGGCATTTAATAATAAATACAATTTATTTTTCCACTCATATTAATATTTAAATAATTTAACTTAAATCAAAATTCTGAACATTTTCTAAATTTTCCTTGCATAACAGTTTTTCCTTAACATATATTCCAAGCAAAGCAATTTACCGTATATACCCGCGTATAAGTCGAGATATTTTGGACAAAAAAAAAATACTTCAAAGTGGGGGGTCGACTTATACGCGGGGTCATAAAAAATTAAAAGAATCGGAAGTTCAAAACTTTCTTTATATAATGCAGTTGTTTTCTTCCTGCACTCAAATTGGATGACTTATCAAATAAGTCACTTACTTGAAGTAATTTCATGACTTGAATTATGTGATGAACTAATCACAGAGTTTCATACTTTAACTAGAGTAAGTTTCGATTAAACCAAAGAATTTTCGGCCCCCGAACAACCGATCAATATCGAGCAATAAAAAAGTTTCGCCAACACGCCAAGAAAAGAGAAATGCAGATAGTTTTCACGTACGTATAAGTCTTTATAATAGTAATTGTTCATTCATGAAATACTTTTGTTAACAGACGTACACGTCAAAATTTACAAAAATAGCCCACGCAATAACTGAACAGTTTTGAATACTTCTTTTAACTTTTAAAAAGGGAAAATGCAGATAGATTTTACGTACGCGAAACTTTTCCGGAACAAATTCTAGAAGGTTACTATATACGATCATTTTCCCTCAATTATCCTGCGTTTTGGATATGTTGGATATATGAAAATGACGACGAAGGCTCTAGTATTGATTGTAACAATAAAAAGTTCGAGACTGAAAATATGTATGATGACGAGCCAATGAGGACAGAAGAGTTCTATGAAACGTTTGGCGAATTTGACCATGAATCGGACGTTGAAGGATTTTGATTTTGTTTATTTACCAAGGTATTTTTTATCGTATATTTACTTTTTTTTTTCTCAGATGATTTTGAATAAATGTAGCACTTAAAAAAGAATTTTCGAAGTTTCTCGATCGATTTCGGAAGTGGGGGTCGACTTATACGCGGGTTTCTTATTTTCTACGAATTTTTATGTCGAAGTGGGAGGTCGACTTATACGCGGTATCGACTTATACGCGAGTATGTACGGTAAGTAAAAAAGAGGCACATTTCTGACATCAGAAGACGGGAAATTGCTTCATGCAGTCATCCTTTAACAGTAAAAGCTTAACTAACCCGCATACTCGGAAATTGCCGAATATTCCGGATAGTAACTGGAAAAAGAGGAGTGGGGGAGATTGTAGCCGTTCTTTAGATTTCTCGGCTAAATAAATGATTTTGACATTTCAATATGTGCATCATATAAAAATAGACCAACGGAACTGAGAAATATTCTGCTTAGAAAGCACAATAAAACTCTTTTAAGTGTCATAAACAAATCTCAGACTAAACATCAAAATTAATTATCTCTGCAAAATACCGCAAACGTTATTGCGCAATACGTGCGGCGTAATTCTTCCACATGTGATATTACGCAATCGGAATCAACAGCTGGCGGTATTCGGAGAATAAAGAACTAAATAAAGGAAAAGAAAGAGACTTACTAATATGGGGTGTTTCTGATTCTAATTTTCAACAGACTGCGTTAAATTTCCGGAATAGGATCAATGTTCGAACTTTTAAATCATTGGACAGTGACAAAAAAAAAAAAAAAAAAAAAAAAAAAAAAAAAAAAAAAAGTCTGCTGCTTCAATATTAGAGATTTTGCGAAGAAAGGGGAGAACCTCTCAACCTTCGTACTGTATAATGTATTGGGGAAAAAAATTATTTTGACTATTCGATTACTTTCCTTTTATTTAAGCCATTCCGAATATTATTCCTTACAAAGCTAATCTGTGTAAAAACACACCCATTTTTGGAAGTTTATCTATACTTCAGCAGTTACTGCAACTATATTATTATAAATATTCATGCATATGCTCATAATATAAACATAACGATCATAATAAACACGAATATGAACTGACCACGCGGAATGAGAATGCAAAAATTATTAAAATCTTGATAGAAGTTCAAACGTGTGTTGTATTTGGGTGGGAGGAAAAGAACACCGAATGTACCGGAATTTTCTACCGTTTTCGCAATTCTTTGACCAATAGAACGACGTGCACCTGTTTGTACTCTCGCGCGCACCATAGGTTACTTGCAGAGAAAGGGGGGATTCACCATCTGACGTTGCATATAAGGAAGAAACGTTGTTTATTTAGTTTCGGCTTTAGTACGGGGGAAAAATGCGCGTTCATTAAAAAAAAAGGATTTAAAAAAAGCACTAAAAGCAAAAAATAAGCACTAAAAATAAAAAAATAAGGGCTTAAACAAAAAGTAAGCACCTATAAGGGCCTTTATATTTTATTTTCAAGTATAAGGACTTATAAGCACTTGTAAGGACCGCTACGAACACTGTTATCCCATGCGATTTCTTTTTTATGGGGCTGAACTAAGAAAGAAGTGTATCGCAGCAACCACAAACTCTTGGCGAACTTGAGAATGAGATCCATGAGATCGTAAGTGGTGTTCCAGCTGAGTTCTTCAGGAAGGTCATAACAAACGTACCTTTTCGTTTAAGACAGTGTTTAGAAAATTCAGAAGCTTACACCGAGTTGTGACTTTTGGAAAGATAGTGGTATATAATAAACTATATGTGTGCAAGAAATTGAATTCATACCTACAATATTTTAGGAGGGGAAAAACGTTAAAAATAGGGAGTTGTATTCTTCCATCCTGTATTCAAATGCAGTTTAACAATTACAAAAGCAAGTTTATTGAAATTATTTATAAGAAAATAATAACCTGAGATCTACCTGTAGTTCATAACCAGTATGACAGTAGTATTTCACAACACTTCCATAAGTAATTTCTGTTATCTCCAGGCCTCCTTGTTCAGGAGATTCCAGTCTGCCACAACTAATTGGATTGCATACTGGAGGTGCTGTCGACCACGTCTTATTAGCTTGACAAGCAGAGAAACTTGTTCCTTTTAGCTCATAACCTTGATCACATTTGTATGTAATCATCGCTCCAAATCGGTAGTCCTTTCCTTCAACTGTTCCATGTAAAATTGCTGAAGGTGGCCTGCACGAAACGCGTTCACAACGTGGCAAGTCTCCTGCCCAACGATTCTTCAATTCACAATACATTTCACCGGTTTCCTCCATTTCAAAACCTTCATCGCATTGATAACGAACCACACTGCCTACATCAAATTTACTTTGAGGACCTATTACATGCCCATGTGGTACCCTTGGTGGAGACTCGCAAGATCGTGGCTGGCAGACTGGAAGGGACTCATTCCACTGGCCTTTACTTGAGCAAGTCAGCGTGCTAGTACCATCAAGTCTGTATCCATCATCACAAAAGAAGTGGATCCGTTGTCCCAATCGATACTTCTTTTGCTGTGAAATGATTCCCCCGTTTTCAAAGGTTTTAGGAGGTTCACAAAGAATCTCTATACAATGAAAGAAAATTATTCATTTATTTTTTAGCACATTTAAAACGGACACACAATTAAAAAAATATCGATACGTATATTAAAATGTCGCTTACAAGAATTGCCGTTAATACATTCAATTTTGGAATTGTACAAGTAATAACAATGCAAGAGTTTTAAGAGATATATTAAGCAATAATTATTTGTTACTCGTTAAGTGATAAATACATTAAAAGAAGGGTTTCATGAAATAATTAGTTAAAATGACTGGCAATTTTATAAGGTATATGGCACAAGAAGCAAGGACATAAATTTCCCCTTCAATTTAAAAATATTTGTAAATTGCCGTAATTGAAAGTAAATTGAAAGTTTCAATCAGTCACAATCTTGATTATTCATTTGTATTATTACGAAATGGCCACCACCGGTAAGACAGCTTACCGCAAAGCGGGTTTTTGGGTTGCCAGAAAATGCCAAAAGAAGGCAGCGATCCCAGGTTTGGCGCGAAATCGCCTATTTGGCGACAAAGTTGGCGATACGCCATAAACGGATGGAGAACATTCTAGAACGAATTAGTACTGGTTTGGCCCAGAATATTCTCCAAGGCAGGTCAAAAAAGCTATATAAACCCTGCTTGTACGCGGAGTAGCAGTATAGTGTCTCGTCAGTGAATCGCGAAGTGCATCATCGTGGCTATCGAGTGCATCGTCGAGTTTTATTTTGAGTGTGTTGAGCTCCGAGAGCGATCAACTGCGTCGGGAGCTGTTCTTTAGTGCTTTGCCGCGGAGCTGTCTTACCGTTATAGCCTAATAGCCTGAAGGCTGTGTTGCTGATCGTTTCAGCCTGTTTGTCGTACTTTTTCGACGATTGTAAACGCGTCTTTGGAACTCTCCCGTGAAATACTGGCAAATAAATTGTGTTTTGATTCTTCGTCAAATGTTATCCTCAATCGATCCAAATCCACGAACGCTTAGAAACGCAACAGTATTAATGAAGGTGGATTTTATGGTATTAAATGTCTGGTAAATTTACGATTAAAAACTAGTTTTAAACACAAATGATTGTGGTCATTCATTTCAATGAACACCAATTATATGTGTGGTACACTTATAATTGGTATTCATTGAAATGAATGACCACAAATGAATACCAATCATGAAAGCAGTGTAAAACAGTATGAATGAGCATGAAGTATCTGTAATTTACACTTGCATATACACTGCAAATAATTTCAAGGTAAGAGAAACAGCATAATACCAAGTTTTTTTTTTTTTTTTCTTTTTAAGGGGGGAACGGCTTTAGTATAGCCCACCTTCAAAGTTTGGCGAACTTTTTTGTTGCCAAAGCGTGTGAAATACGTTGCTTTGAAAAATGGTTACCATTGAGATTTTCGACGAAACTCCGTGTTTCAAAAATGGCGGCCACCTTGATTTCGCCATAAAACGTGGATAATAGAAATAAATTTACGACTATTATACAAGATTTTAAAAGAAAAAAATATTAAGGAATGATTAATGAAAATGATTAAGGTTAAAAAGGATGTAATTTTAAAAACAATGCCGGAAACCTTTACCAATTCGTATTTAACAAATAATTTTAACTACCATTCGATGACTAAGTAATTAATCCGCATGGTATCTTACATTTTTCACAATAAACTTTATTCTTCAATAACCCACAATCCATCAAAAATCCTCTAAAAAAGTTCATACTCTCTTGTTAATTCGTACATAAGAACTTTCCCAAACTTTTACGCTCGTTTGAAAACTCCTACCTTAAATTTTCCTTTTTGTGTTACGAATTTCGCATTTAGATAGTTAATTTTAGTAGAATTCTGATTAAAAATGTTTTATTTCCCCATGCAATGCAGCGCTAGACAAATTTTAAGAGTAAGCTATGCCGGAAAAGTAAGAATACAGGATCACGTGCATTTAACTTTGAGTAAATGGATATCTCGGTAAATTGTATTGAAATTGAATAAATGTAATTGACCATTATGTTACCTGTAATCATAGTTCCATCCGCTTTAGAAATCAGAAATTTACGGTTGTTTACATTGCATTTGCGGAATAGTATGGGTTACCAGATGCTTGTAAACCTGTGTGGGTTGCCACATCATATCATTTATCGCCATTCTTGGCGATATTTTTTGGTTAAAATTCTGGGTTAGCTATACTAAAGCTGTTCCTTTTTAAGGATAAGCATATTAAATGAGAAACAGCCATTTTCTGTCTTCAATTGTATCTTTCAAAAATTTTATTTTCTCTTAATTATCAATTTATATAAATATAGATAGTACCGTGAATGGATACATCGTATTTAAATGCTATACAAGTAGTTGCACAAGCAGATTATTTCTCAGAGATACTTTTTTACAGTGCATATGATTTAAATATTATTTACTAGCCGTTACGCAGCCAACCTTCGACTGGCTTTTAAATGTACCATAAAAATGCCCAAAGGGACATTATATTTAACATCAAATATTAAATTAAAACATTAAACATTAAATTTAAAACCTGCACAGAAGTTTACTCTGCAGAAAAATTTTATCAAAAAAAAAATAATAAATAAATAAATAAATAAATAAAATAAAATAAAATAAAAATAAAAAATAAATGTATCACGTATTAAAAAAATTACAATGAAATAAGCAATATCCCTTAATACAAATATTAATTATCCTAATAAGTAAATTACCAACTTCCTGTTGCAAAATCTTAAGAATTCAAATGGTATAAAGGAAGCTAAAAACTTTGTTTCCTAAACAAATCATGAAAAGCTTTTTATATAATTAAAATTATATATAATTAAAACATAATATTAAACAATTACAATTAAATAAGCAATAAATCTCATATTTTCAAGAGAAAACAGTCAGTAGTTCAGTATCCAAAGCTAACGAATGAAAAACTGTTGCCAAAACCACATTCCTAAACGAATGAAACAATCATCAGAAAGCGATAACTAATCAAAATTGTGCTTTGTGGATGACATAATTCAAAATATACAAACCTCTTTGCCATTAGCTAATAAAAAGAGAGAGGAAAAAGAAAAAAAAAAAAAAAAATTCTTTTCTGTTGTGCCTCGCGAGACACATGCGCGTCAGAATAAAAAAGATTGTGATGTGCGTGTCCAAAAATCAAAAGAAAATAAGCAGCATGAAATAATCAATACTTTATCTCATTTTTCAACAGTCATCAGTCCAGCATACAAAGCATTGAATGAAAAACTGTTGTTATAACTACATTTCTAAAAGAATGAAACTATTCAAAATGACGCGATTTCATCAAAAAAGATAAAATAAAATAAAAAAAAAACTCTGATTCGAATTTCGAAAAAAATCGCTTCGAGCTGCACAAGGTTGTCTAGATGCACCTATGTACCAATTTTCGTAGCCCTGGGTATATTAGCTTACGCGCAGCACAAACGAAAGACACACATACAGACAGACTCTTTCTTTTATTACATGCAGAGATTTCCGAAGAAATAATGTAACGAGAAGAACCTACGCAAATATGCTGCTGGTGTATCCATAGTCTTTTCAACACATAATTTCTAAACATCAGTACAATAAAAATTTACTTCTTAAAACCTTTACCTTCACATTTTGGATTATCACCACTCCATTTCTTATCGACCATGCATACTCTAGTGGAATCTCCAATTAACCTGTATCCTGGATTACAAACATATTGAACAATATCCTGGAAATAATACTGTCGTTCGTTGAAATAACCATTGGCAATATTACCAGGGGAGCCACAATATACACCTGAAACAAAAACTTGTTTAGAAGCAAAAGCGATATTCTAATTCTAATCATTTGTAAAAACAATGCAAGTAAGATTTATTTTCAAAAAGAACCATATTATATTAGAAAACTACACCAATAGATAACTTACAAAGAAAAACAAAGTAATATAACAAAAACAAAAAATTAACCCAGCCTGCGCTATAGCTACAGGACTGAAGCAAATTAATAAAGCATCCAAAATGAAGAATAAAATTGAATAGGAATCAAGACAAGGCAATTCACTATTAATATATGGATCGTACAGAAATGATTGACACAACAGTTCTTAAAACGAAACTATTACACTATGCGAAGGGAAAACAAGTGAAATAGTCACAAGGGGGTGTTAGCTACTCAGAAAGCAGAAATGGAGCTGGCCGCAAGCCGAACGGTATAATTCAGCGCCCGACCCTTTCGCCGTCGTCAGAGCTCAACAGCCGAGCGGTCTTAACCAACGATCCTTCATGGGCTTTGCATAATTGGTTCGATCCTCAGCCGAACTTTAAAATCGTAAAAGACTTGTATACATTTTGTATAAATTTATCTCTTCATATATAATCTAGAAAATATTTTTATTATGCTTTTATTCAAGAATTGTGTGAATGCTTATCATGTAAAGATTTGACAAGAACAAAAAGATTATGCCTAAAAAGTGATGCTCCTGCTAATAATTGCTCTGCCTGAACGTAAGTAATTTTTTCTCATAAATCTCAATAGATGGCGACACATAGGTCGCATGCAGTTCTGCTTAGTTACGATGTGTGGCAAGGGATGGCGCCACCTGAGCTGCTGAAACTCAAGAAATGATGCGCGTATGGAGCTAAGGCAAAGAAAGTCTATATTCTTTGGCTAAGGATCTCCTGATCAGTCAGGAATATTATTCTCACTTAAGAAGACCTTACAAGGGATCAATAATAGTTTGGTAACGGTCCTCATGGGTCGAAGACCTCTCAGAAACGCGATGGTCTACGGTCGCCGTCGGCATTGAGAGCGTCTACAGCAATGATGGAAGGTATCACGGTCAGCGTTGTTCCTATGGAAAGGATACAGGGTAGTGAGATACATCGTAGAATGGTGTCGGTGTGCAGGAACAAAGCACCCTCAAGCGCGGGACGAACAGCAACATCGCATACAGCAGCAAAGGGGCAGTTGTGTCGGATTTGATCATGGCGAACAAGCGCATAAAAAACAATAAAATGCAGATACGGGGCTTGCGCAAGGAACACTGCAGACGATTGTGCATGGTGATTTGGAAATGGCAAAATGGGTGGACCTTGAACCAAGACCTCGGACTAAGGCTTGCTTGACAAGATGAAGGACGCAGTCAGGAGCCAACATGTTGAATCTTCTGCCGAATTGCATGCAATTGTCCATAGGTGGTGCACCAACACCCCCGCAGACTGGTTTAATAAAGCCCTTCAGGACCTCCCAGCCAGATGGCAGACGTGTATTGATATGGGGAGGGGATTATTTCTAACTGATGTACTATCAGTTTTAGTTAATAAATTGTATTCCGCTCAGTGGCAGCATTTTTGTCATTCATTTCTGTACGACATAAATAATTCAAATCGTGGAAAATGGTCTGCATTGTAACTAAAGATAATCAAAATTAATATAAGAGTTCATCACTAGAATAAACCCAAAAATACAAAGCAAATTGATAATAGAAATAAAAACTACAAATTAATCTCCTTTATCTGAAACCCTAATTCAGAAATCATCAGGAGAAAATGAACTGAAGTTTATAAAAGTCTATTAATTTGTCTCAAATACATGTTTCATTCTTCTGAATCATCTGAGCTCAAAAACTGATGAAAATTCAATCAAATTTTCAAAAATAAAAAAAATTTAAATGTAATTAAAACCGAAAGGCCGAATCTCATATGTATTCAGAATTTTCCCTACATGCATTTGAACACTTAGAAAAAACGAAAATAAGTAAAAAATACTATATTATGCAAAACTGACTATGCTAAAAAAATATAATTGCCAAAGATACATTAAAATGAGAAAAGGACTTTCAAAAGACCTTGATTCCAATTTAATTTAATTTTGGATGCTATATAATTAATGGATAACTTGATATAAAAAAGCAATATATGCACAGCATTCAAGTCATGAAATCTAAACCACTTATCGTTCGCAGAAATTCAGATAATCAATGTGGTTGAATGCAAATTAAGATAATTACATAGACTTAGGAATAAATTCGCAATTATTTTTTCTTCCATTCAAAACAGCTGCAAGTTTATTTTTCCCAGGCAAGGTTTTTTTTCACCATATTTTAAAAATAATTACATGCTATTCATTTTTTAAGTAATCAACTATCCTAATTTAAATAGTATTTCAGAGGCTAGTTGAGTCTTTAATGGAAATATTAATAAAGTTGTGTCTTTAATGGAAATATTAATATGCAGCTCCGCTGCAGTGTAAAATTGCGGCTGTTTGTAGACGCACTATAATAAAACTAATGTAACAAAAGCCTCCCAACCAAAGATAGCGGCCCACTAAGGGCGATGCCACCAGTGTGGGTAAAGAAGGGGTATTTCATATTTAAAAACTGATTAAAATATATATTTCTGAAAATATGTTGGAGTTGATCTTAACATTGTTCTTTACTCTCTGTAATTTTTATCTGCCGTTATATGAAAATCCAGAAACAATCATAAATCGCTTTGAACTATATTTAAAAATGTTTTTCTTCTGCTCTTTGATGATAATAAATGGATCTCTTTTTATTGCAGTCAATTGTCACTACTGTGACAACATTTTCTCCTTTTTCGTCTGGATAAATATATCTCACTAGCGGAAGTACACGATGGCAGTTAATGTAGATTGAGAGTAATGCATTTAATAACAGAGAGAACGATACCGCTGTAATCCCTCTCTAATAATGATGCAAAAAATACTATTCATAGTCATACATTTTTCAGTCTGATGTGATATGGAACCCACATAAAAATTTTAATGGAAAAATACACTAATTCTCTCTCATTATATCAGTAACAATGACACGCAAATTTTAATGACTTTTATCCTTTTAATCAAATGGTCGTAAAAGCTCAAGTTCCATCCAGTATTATTCCATTCAAATTTAGCCGATTAAATGTGGTTAAAAATTGATCACAATTAATCAGAAATCAATAACGCGAACAAACACACAAACAGATATTCTTCCTTATAAACATTTTTGTAAAACTTTACAATTTTTGATTAACAAAGTCTACGATTTGAAAGCGAACAGTAGCAAGAATCTTCGAAATAAAGCATTTTTATTTCCAACGCGCGAGACTGTTGCCATTCGGAAAAATGAGTGCAAAAAATCAATGCTTTCGAAGTTTATAACTAATATCTCGGTTGATTTAAGTCGCATGCAGTCGAAATGGCTTCCCACGAATTTTTGGAATCAGGAAAAATGTGTTTAATGTTTGGCAGGTGCTATTTTTATTTCACTGTAAAACTTAAAATTTTTTTATTAACAAACTCTAGGATTTGAAAGCGAGTAGTGCCAACACCTTTCGACATAAAGCAAATTTTCATCTCAAGCTTTGCGAGACTGTTGCGACACGAAAAAATGAGGGCGAAAATGATCGTTTTACCGAATTTTTAATTAATATCTCTGATTTCAGCTACTATTTTTGCAAAAAATTGGACGTCGACCTTTTCTAGCACCCAGAAAAGAATTGTAAAAAGTTTGTTGACGATAGCTATAGTAGCGACTGAGTTATTAGCAAACAAACACACAGATTTTCTTCTTTATGTACAGGGTGTTTCATAGATCATGGGACAAATTTGGATGAGTGGTGGAGCGTACTAAAACGTGCATTTTTACGCTAGATAAAGAAAACGTTTTAAAAAACAACAGCACACTTCTAAAATCGAGGCAAGTAGTAAGATAATGAAATGATGGGATGAAATTCTGATTAAGATTCAGATAATGATACATGCAGTATGGATTTAAAATCATAACACATCTGATTCATTAAAATATATAGCATTAAAATTCTAGCATAAAATCTCAAGATAAAATCAAATTAAATAATCGAGACCTGTTTCTTTCAGGTACTGAAACAAATTGGTACTGACCTCTCTTCCGATTAAACGGTCGAGAGGCAGGTCATAGCTATTAAAATACTTCTGACGAAACTATTAAAATATGGACACTCAATTAAAATGTGGTGGACTGATAGACCACCAGTACAATTTGGACAAACAGACTCATTCTCAGCTTTTAATAGTTAGCTATGTGTCGCTCTAGTGTGACCTATTTTAAGCCGAGTCAAAAGAACTTCCTCCTTGCGATTTCTAGCAGTATCCCAATCTCTATTTTAGCCTTCACCCTCCTCAACTTATTATGAAGCTGAATGTCCCAAAGTTGCTGCCATTTATTTCTGATCTGCTCTTTGATGACACAATAGATATCTCTAAAAGGGATGAGGCGGCCGGACATTTCAACAGCAGATTTCGCCGTGATGTCTGCCAGCTCATTGGCTTTTATTCTTGTATGTCCAGGAACCCAGCAGTACAGATTTCATATCCACAACTTGTTAAGTTTATACTCAACTTGAGTACATCCACTATCACAGGGTGCAGGAAAAAGATTCTAAAGCTTTCAATGCACTGTAGGAGTCTGTATTATAATGGATTTTCTATGGCGTAGCGTTGAGATATACAAAAACGCATAATATATGGCAGTCAGTTCGGAGGTTAAGACCGAGGAGGCGTCGTGTAAACGTCTGCCCTCCAAGTGGTCACCAATTAAAACGACATCCCAGCATGACAAGTTGACTTGGATCCATCCGTATATATGGAAAGATAACTGCTGTAACTATGCCTGTGCTCAGCAAAAATTTGTCTGCACATGATCTCATTAGTGATTGTTTTGACGTGGAAAATGGCAAGTAGCTGGATTTGTGCATTTTCCCTAGATGGGATCTCAAAATGCTGTACTGTTGTGGGGACATATCAGAGAGGGAGAATTCTTCAATGAGAGGACGAACTCTGACAGGAAAAGAAGGCAAACAGGATGGACGTGCTTCAAATAAAAGGTCACAGCTATTATCAAGTAAACACACTTTATAAGGATGGTCAAGTTGAGACAATATATTAAAATACTGTACAAGAGATAACTCCTCCCGCCTCAAACGGAGTGATGGTTCGTAACAGTCAACACAAAGGCTCTGGACAGGAGACGTCCTGAAGGCTTAAGAACAGATCCGCAGAGCCTGATGATGATCAGGATCTAGTTTTAATAACACTGAAGACCAAGAGGATCCGTAAACAACTGAGCCGTAGTCCGGTCTAGAGCGAACAAGAGCTCTGTAAATGCGAAGCATAGATCAGCGCTCTGCGCCCCAGAAGGTGTTCGCCAGGACTTTTAAACTATTTAAAATTTTTGTAGACTTCTTTCTCAAGTTTAGGACATGAGAAAGGAAAGTCAGTTTTCGGCCGAACAAATCATCCCTAAAAATTTTACTTCAGGTGCAACTGGAATCAGGTTCTTGTTTGTAAGCGGTTGGGTTTTATTTGGTAGAGTCTGTGTATCAATTGAAGTTTGGGTGGCGACTGTACGAGATGTTTTCAGAGCATTGGCATAAGACGTATTTGGGCGAACCTGTGTGCTTTGGACTAATCTTCTGGCTTCAGCATATCTGATGTTCTTAGTTACTTTTGCAATCTGCCCTTCTTTTTCTGATTTCCATTTTGGGCCCAAGCGAGAAAATGCTGGGGGTTCACCCTTGCAATTTATACACAAAGGCGCAGCAGTACAATTATCACAATCATGACCAATCTGTGAGCATCGGGCGCATATGAGACTGCCACGACAAGATATCTTAGAATGACCGAAGCGCTGGCATTGGAAACATCACATAGGGTTTGGAATATAAGGTCTTACAGGGCAATTTAGGTATCCGGCCTTATTCTTAGGCAGATCAGACGAGTTGAAGGTCAGGATCAGGTGTTTCGTATCGATCAACTGGCCTTCCTTACGCATCTTGATCCGCTTAACACCACAGACATTTTGGTCAGACAGTTCGGATGCGATTTCCTCTTCGGAAACACAGAGAAGGTCGACTTCTGAGATTACACCGCCACAATTATTCAATGTCTTATGTGCTGTTACAGTAACATTCGCTTGATCAAGTTTGGTTACTTGAAGTAAGGAAGCAGACTGGGTACCCGAAGTTGTGTTAATAAGCAAGTCTCCAGAGCGGAGACGCTTTATATTTCATGGCTCACCAATACAGGAATGGATGTATTTATTTATCAGAAAAAGGACATCTGTAGCAGCTCGCCAGGAGGACTAGATACAACAAGAAAACGGGGACTATTGTTAGGGTTATTTGCAATTGCATCTGTACATACCTTTTTAGTAGATTTTTCAGAACTACTAACGCTTTGAGTGACGGGACAGACTTCAAAATCTTTAATCATATATATTTTTGAATTAGCCATATTTAAGATAGAAATTATTCGGACCCGGCAGCCCCACCCACCACGGAGTTCAACAAGGGGACGCAGAAAGGGTTAACCGGGTCTATACGCAATCTGAAGCCCCCACAGTCAGCTCTCCTGAAAGCAGGAACTCTCAAAAGCTTATCCCCAAGCCACTGTCCTTAAGGACACGTGACCAGCCGATTAACACTAGCTGGGACAACTAAGTACCTCCCGTTTCAATCTGAAGCAGAGGCCAAAGCAGGGTGTTGGGGACACTCAACTACCGGGACCCTCCTTTCCAGCCTTTTACGGGTCACAACGCACTTCAAACGCGTAGGTGGTTTTCTCTCCGTAAGAATTTCTAAACAAAAGGATGCGGCAGAATCTTACTTTGAGCCCGAACCCCCGAAAAAGAAAACTACAAGGACAGAAGAAATGAAATTGTAGAGAGAAGAAGACATGAAAAGGAAGAGAGGAAAGATCACTAAGGGCTCCAGGATCGTGACCCCCGTCTCACCAAGAAAGTGATCCCTTGAAGGGCTAGAGTACCTCGGGATTGCCACACCCGTACTCACAGAAAGTGTGCCTTTATTTATTAAATATCATGTTCTTCGCACTTAAACCATAAAATTCAATTCAACAGCAATATCCCAAAATAATTTTAAAATGAGCAAAGCTTTAGGATTTCCGATAAACAGTCTTGCACGCTGGAGAAAACATTTTTTTCCGTAATGTTTTGCCATTTCTCGCTTTGTAATCGTTGAGTTTGTTAATCAGAAATTCGTTAAAGTGTTACAAAAATATGAAATCGATAATAAAACAAATTTAAATTCCAAATTTATGCTTCCAGATGCCCATATTCGGTGTAAAGATTCCATTATTCAAAATTGGATGGCTCTAGATACCGTTATTTTATCCCAATGCGAGAAACATACGTATATTTATGCAGATTCTTCATTATTTAATTTCATAAAATATAACACAGGTTGATAATATTTGGTGGCAAATCGATAATATCGATAATATTTGGTGGCAACAACTTGAAAAGTGAATCAAGGCAGAATGCTGAAACGAAATTAATAATCCTTCAGGGCAAATCGCCCCTTTAGATTAATAATAACTGTTACCTGAAAGGTAAACATGATCTTAATGCAACAAATAAATCACAGTATAAATAACAGGAGCAAATCCGAAATTTACAATTTTATTCGACATCTGGGAAAAAATACGTTAGCGCGAAACATTAGAAAATTCCCTAAAATTCCCTAAAATAATAATGGAATTTCGCGCCCCGTAAAATTTACAAACCTAGCGACGATGATACGCTAATTGCTTCCAAATATTTTGAGAAATCTCACTGTGAGGTTAATGCTTATCAAAATAATCATTAATACCGTAATAAAAAAGCTGATTTTAAAATTTTTATTTGACACTTTATACTCCATTAGACCTACCCGCTTCCCTCAAAAATACTCACGATCACAACGAGGCTCCTCAACTGTCCAGTTACCAGACACAAGACATCTTCTTTCGGTAGGACCATTGATGTAATACCCAGGATTACATGTATATGAGAGACGAGCATCAGCTTTCACACCACTCACATAAACTTCAGCATTTAAAGGTGGATCCGGCACAGCGCATCCTGAAACAGAGATGAGTTAAAGTCAGTAAATGTAAAGAATATCAAAATAAGCAATCTACGAAAATAAATGGTGCGATTTCATCAGGCCTCTACGAAGTAAATATATCGTAAAATGGATTGAAAATGCTTTTATTTAATTTAATCATTCAAAAGGATATAAGGTATTTCTCCCGCCTTCTTAGCATGCCTTCTCAGTGTAGTGGTCTGCAGGTTGGGCGCGTATTATAGAGGTCCGTGGTTCGATTCCCGGCGAGGGGGTTGCTCATTTTTACTCTCTCCTGCTTTCAAAAAGTACCTAATGCCTCTACAGTAGAGTCCGAACTAAACGGGTGGTGGATAATGATTCTCCACGCCCAGGATTTGGCGATTGGGTCCCCTAAAAACCCAGTCGCCATATACGGTATTTCTCCCGCCATCTTAGCATGTTTTCGTAATGTAGTGGTCTACACTCTTGGCTCGTAATCCAGAGGTCCGTGGTTCGATTTACGGGGAGCGCGTTGCTTACTTTTCATCTCTCCTGCTTTAAAAAAATACCCCATGTCTCTGCAAGGATCACAAGAAAATTAACAAATGTCAAATATAGTGACCGCCGGCGGGAGCTGTTCTTCTCGTAGACAGACAGTAGAATGTGGAGTTTAGTAAAAGGCAGAATCATACTTTTCTATGTTTTTATCATTACTTGAATTTGCAACTAATATCTGCTTCAGTTTAATTATTTCTAAAAGTATCGCGTCAATTCAGAAATGTTTATTATTTCACACCTACGACTCATTATGATGCAGAATGTTATTTCTCTCCTTTCCGCATACCTTCTTCGTGTATTTGGAAGCATACTCGACGCGTATTCGAGAGGTTTAGAGTTCGAGTTCCGGCGAGGGCACGGCACACTTTTCACGTTCTTGCATCGAAATAACCTAATGACTCTACAATCTATAATTTCCATTTTTATGATGATTTAAAACTTGCTATTTTACTCATGTAACTGTAGAATTCGGTACAATACGTTACAATGTATTCAGTACAATGCGCAATAAGGAGATATATCTCATATATCATGGAAATTTATTAATACACCTAATTTTAAAAAATCTCATGTACGGAATATTAAATTCTACACATTTTTTCCTGCATTTCATTTAAACTTATTTCCTCGAATTTCATTACAGATATCTTTCTCATTCAATTACTTCAGTTCTCACTTCGCGACAAAGCAAAAATACATAAAAACGCAAAATATCTATATTAAAAATTGAAAGATACAGAAAAACATAAAACACCAAGTACAGTTAAAAAAATTAAAAAAACAATTTTTTATAATTAAAATTGCATTTCCTACGCAAAAACAAGCCATTCGGCCAGCGGGCTAGAAGGCACATTTTCGGTGCACAAAACTGAAATTTTACGTTTGGTCTCCCTCGGCAAAAAATCACTGAAGGCGAAGAAACTCACTTAATTTATTGTGGATGCTATGCTGAGTCAATATACGGGATAATTTAATAACTTAAATGATAATTCCAGAATGATTAAACGTAATTTAATTCGCAATAATTAAAAAAGACGTTACTTTGTTGTTGCGAAGCTTAGTTTCTCCAGATTGGCAACAACTCCATTATTCTGCTAAGTTTCAAATGTAAACATATGGTATGTAATCAAATATTTCAAATGTAAACTTCTGAAAAAAAGAATCTATTTTGAATCAATTTTATAATTCGTTTGGCGAAATAGAGTCCTGTATTCTGTCCTCACGTACAGATGCCAAAGACATGGTTAAATTGCATTCGATAGCGGTCAAAATGGATATTTCCGTTGAAATACGATACCCGGAATTTTTCGTGATTACAATACTTCCTTTACCTCGCACAAGGAAGTAAAAAATTAGTGTTAACAGTCATTCAGAATAATTAATTATCTTTTTTAACAGAAAATTGTAGGCACAGCTTCAGTATAGCCCCCCCCCCAGAATTTTAACCAAAAAATATCGCCGAGAGCGGCGATAAATGATATGATGTGGTAACCCATACGCAATGTAAACAAGAGGATAGAATTACAGTTACAGCTAATATAGCAGTCAGTTACATTTATTCAATTTCAATACAAATTACCGAGATATCCAATTACTCATAGTTAAATGCACGTGCCAATATATTCTTACTTTTCCGGCATAGCTTCTCTTAAAATTTATCTCGCGCTGCATTGCACGGAGAAATACAACATTTTTTAATTAGAATTGTATTGAAATAAACTATCTAAACACAAAATTCGTAACACTATTTTCGGCGATTGTTTAACGCTGAGATATTGCGGAGAATACTGTTTTGGAGATCAGATTTTTGCATTTAGTTATGGATTGCTTTAGGCCTGCTGTTAGTGATGTTGTAATTAAGTATCGAGAGATTTTAAAGGAAAATTTAAGATGGGAGTTTTCAAACAAGCGTAAAAGTTTGGGAAACCAGGCATTCCAAACAGATATTTTATGTATGAATTAACAAGAGAGTATGAACTTTGGATTGTGGATTATTGAAAGATAAAACTTGTTTTGAAAAATGTAAGATACCATGCAAAGGTATCTTACATTTGGGAAAGACATGCGAAGGTGAGATTTTCCGGCATTGTTTTTAAAATTACATCCTTTTAACCTTAATCATTTTCATTTCATTCCTTAATATTTCTTTCTTTTAAAATCGTGTATAATAGTCTTAAATTTATTTCTATTAACCACGATTTCTGGTGAAATCAAGATGGCCGCCATTTTTGAAACACGGAGTTTCGTCGAAAATCTGGATGGCAACCATTTTTCAAAACAACGTATTTCATGTGCTTTGGCACCAAAACAAATTCGCCAGACTTTGAAGGTGGGCTATACTGAAGCTGTTCCAAATTATATATTCAGAACTATTTATAATTGTAAATGAAAATCTGCAATACGTACCAGAGCAAAAATGAGAATCCTGGTATTCTACGCGTCCTCGAATGCCTGAAATGAAATCGGCCCAAGATCGAACATTACCGTTGTATTTATCGCAGCGACTGATCAAATTTGCTATTTCCTCAGGTGGAATAACGTAATCCCAAATATTGAGTAAGGTCAACTCTCCAATAAAGGACTCAGGGCTGCTAAAACCCGCACCTCGTTTATCTTGTTCTTGTCCCAAAACTATGGTCCCAGTCCCTGAAAAACAAAGGCATAAGATGCATACACGTTAGTTGAAAGGAATCATTATTCAAACAAGTAACCTGTTGATATAAAACTGCATTTGCACATTCACATTTCATACTTTAAATTTCCTTATTTAGTAGGCTATACTATTTTAGATATTTCATTAACTGAATGTAAACTGTAGTAATACATAAAAAATAATTTACATATAATATTGCTACGAAATGCCCAACCCGGTACGATAGCTTCCCCGCAACGCGAGTTTGGGGTTGCCAGAAAATAACAAGGAGAGGCAGGGTTTTGGCGCGAAATCGCCCATTCGGCCACAAAATTGGCAATAAATCATAGACGGAGAACATTCTAGAATGAATTTGGTACTTACAGAAAATCGCGTCGGCCATTTTTGCCTATTGAATAAAAAACGCAAAATACGCAATTCTTCGCCAAAATGGAAAAGTCTTCTTCAAACACGCTGGGTTTGGTGTAACCTTAATTACACGTGTTAGTTATTATTCTTGAGTAAAGACTCCTTTTTCCCTTTTATCACGCATTTTCGGGAAAACAATCATTCAAATCTGGGACGTGCCTACTACAGAAGAGCATGCTGTTGAATATTTCCAAAGTTATGGAATCTTGCTGGCCTCAAAAAATGTGTTAACGGCCACTAAATGGCGCTTTATTTAAAACCTGAGAAGCTATGGCGTTGCAAAGTTACGGCTTGCGCGAAGCGAGTGTCAATTCGAAAGGGAACGTGGTTCTACTATTTCATTTTTGACTGCACTCCGATTAATTTATAGTTGGGGCAGAGAACTGAAGACTATTAAATGGGAAAAAGGATCGCGGGATTCGAACCTCGGACCGAACTACCAGTGTTCAGCGACTTTACCGCTCGGTCGCTGGTGGGCCTTATGCAAATGCTGATAGTTGCACAATCAAATTACTGATAGTCACATGGCAACACCGAATAAAAGGAATAAAGGTAAACTTTAGAACTCAAGGATATATCCATAAAAACTGTTTTATTATCGGTATCATATTAAGCACTAGCTTTCAACTTATAACGCAAATTAACTGAAATCTTACAATTTACAAATTATTGCAATGATTAATTTAGAAGTCAAACAACAAAATATTTATTATATTTTCAAATTTTCACAGGACTAGTTTCTATGGTTTTTAACGAACCATTATCCTCAGTTGTAAAAGCGCAAATGAACAAGATAACATATAGTGATTAGATAAGTTAAGAAAGACTGGACAGGAGTTAAGCTACTGGCGCCATCTGTTGATGAAACGAGAACTAAAACATATTTTCCTTAAAGGATGAAGGCAAAGATGGATTGGAATTAGGGTCGTTAACTAGAACAGAAAGACTTCTTTGAATGTGAAATGCTTCTAGAAAAATCTAATTCACCAATGGAAGACGTTTCTTGAATAATTTAGTCTGCAGAAAAATTGAAAGTGTGATTTTCGGACCAACAATGCTAGGCAACAGAAGACTTCTGTGTTTCCTTTTTTCTAACATATGCCTCATGTTCCTTTAACGCGACATTTTAAGGCTCTCTTAGTTTGACCAATGTAATTAAACCACACTGGCAAGGAATCCTGTAAATACCCCCAGGAATTTATATCCTTTGTTGTTTGACTTCTCAATTAATACTTGTTCGGCGTGTTATTGAATCTTAATTATCGAAATGATGTTTAAATTTATAAAAGGCATACTTGGAATATAGGTCCCGGCTGCTAGCCCATTTCCACTGTCTTCTTGAATGCCGTTTTTATACATAGTCCAAGTTCCTTGTTGCGATGACCATGTAAAGCAGATATGATGCCAAAGTCCATCATTTGCCGTAACGTCAGTGACAACCATTTCCATGTTCACATATATTACAAAACTAAAAATATAAATAACTTCTGATACATCATATTTTTGTATGTTTATCTCACTAGCAGTTATTGTGGCAAAGCCATATGCAATTTAATCCACACAAGAAACAGAACAAAAAGCCTAAATTATATAAAAAATATATAGGTTAGTCTATATTTTAAGGTATCTCTTGGATTATCGCCAAGTTGTTGTTTCATTTATGGTAACCTGAGTAGATGAATGCTATAGAAACCCCGTTATGACGTCATTGTTTGTAATACGTGATCGCAGTGATTTTGACTGATGGGAAATATATGTAAAGGCTTACTTAGGTATGGATGTTGGTTAAGAAGTATGTTGCTTATTTTATCCTTTACACCAGAAACCCTCCCCGGGGGTCGACGTAGAGAACTCTGCGAAGCTACTGGCTAAGATCTGTACCTAGGCAGTCTCAGCCACGGGGGTATAAAATTTTATGAACTTGGTGGTTCTGAAGGCCCTGGGAAAGGTCACTTATTGGCCGGCCACGGGGTCTGGCATGTCCTGAGCGGTGTGGAACCGTAACCGGAGGGCTAGTTCTTCTCGGTTTGCTGGGTAACGTCCCACTGCGACGGGCTCGCCCATGCGACTGGCAGGAGCAATTGACGACCAGTGATGCCTGGTGTCGTATCCAGGTGGTGCGCTGCTCCCCTGGATGGGTAATAGTGGAGGTAGAACCTCCACGAGTTGCCTAAAGGGGGAGTAGACCCGTAGTGTGATTGAGTTCAAGGGGCGGGGAAGCCAAGAACCTTGTTTTTGCTGCTGTTGTTTACACCATAAAATGTAAGGACGTAGGTATGGATCTGAGGAAGTACATTGTTTATTTTGTGCTTGACACCGTAAAATGTAAGGGCTTACTTAGGTGTGGATGTTGGTTAGGAAGTACGTTGCTTATATTGTGCTTTACACCGTAAAATGCCTGCTGGTGGTATGATTAACCTGAGTTTCAGCACATTTTGGAACCACTGGGAAAGAAAACATGGATTGACTGATGTGTAAATGAAGATTTAAATGGCTTCGTTCACCTCTTGGTAAGTTACGCAGTGAGATTTAAGGATTTCGAAACCGGAGCTCATATCAACACTATGGAAGGTAGGTGGAGTGTAATAAAAAGGGATTTTCCAAAGAAATGCCTCCGGCAGTACGGAGGATATTTTTCATTTTTACTTCTGTAAATTTATGCGGTGACAGCAGTATGCAGATCCTAATTTAGATAATTTTAAATTGTTTTTGGATTCTGTTAAGGAAATCTGTGTGTCTCACATACTGAAGAAACAGAAATTTTTAAATAGGTAAGTCGATATTTCCTTTTTGTGCTGCGTAGATTAGATAACATTTGTATGATTTAAAATGAAGTTTATTGTGATTATATATTTGTTTTAATTATGTTTTATTGCATTATGTTTTGGACGCCATTTTATTGGGGTGGGCGTTGGATATAAACAGGAATGGCGCCAAAAAGTCGCCAAGGGGTACCCTGAAATACATTTTTACCAAAATATAGTATTTATTAGAACAAAACATTTGAACTCCATATGTTTCAGTAAGGATGTTTTCACCGGAGAATTTCTGGAAGAAAGGCTTTACGCTGACATTAAATATAAAAAAAGTCAAAGAAAATACTAAACTTGGAGAATACTTAAACTCAGGACGAACTGCCTAAAGCAGAAATAAATTAGTTATATATTATAATTCTACAGAAGTGTTTATAATTACTAGACAGGTCAAGATAATTGAATTTCCCCTAAATGTTAGGTATGTATTCAATAAACTTCGGCTGCTTCTTCATCAGGTGAAATAGCTATAGTCACATTTCTTCTAGAATCAATTCTATTCAATCATTCATTTTCGAGGTATTTCAATTAACACTTGCACAGTCATTCGCAATTCGGTTACAGGCGAAAACATAGCAGACGGAATAGAGAAAAGTGTAGTAGAGAAAAACCCTACAAGTAAAAAAACATCATCGTTCAAAACATCGTGGTAGAAAACATAGCGACCTAAAACATCATTGTACATTCTTTGTCAGGAAAGTTCCAGGACAAAGGTCGTAAAAAATAGAAAATTGCGTTTACCAGGTAATGATCCTAGCTGCTATCAAAATAGTCCCCTTGTCTATTCTATACACAACTGCCAACGTTTCTGGAGGTCTACTAGGTAAGCAAGCAGAGAAATCTTCAACTGCGATGCTTGCGAGCTCATCTTTCACAGCGCGTTGGATGTCTGTAATACTCTTGATGAAGCTGTCCTTTCAGTCACCTTTTGACTCACGGAAACAAGAAAAAATCATAATAATCTTTGACACAAATGGTTGGATCATGTCTGGCTCTAGCCAATAGTTTACGAGAAATTCTTCGTCTTTCCTCTTTCTGTTCACCTGTGAGTGAGTGACTGACGATTCTTGCATTAAGTTTCCGTTTCCCTAAATTTTCGTGTAAAATCTTATGACACACATTACGATTCAAATTCAGTTCTTCTGATATCATACGCACAGTTACACGATAGTTTTCTCGCAATAACTGCCGTACAAGCTCCTCCACGTTTGCATCGGTATGTGCTATAGATGGGCGATCAGCTCTGGGATTGTCTTGGACTGAATCTCTGCCTTCACGAAACCTTTCGTGCCACTCGAAAATACGACTTCTTGAAACTGCCTCGTCTGCGTATGCTTGCTTAATTATGTTCCACGTTTCACTAGGGGTTTTCCAGAGCTTAATTTAATGTTTAATCTTTGCTTATAATCAGCATCCATTGTGTCACCTTAACGAATGCGGGAACAATCAGAACAGTGCGTTGCTAAGCACAGCCCTGCCACTTAGTAAGTTTGGGTGGAAACATGGCCAAGGTCATGTCAAGTAAGAATATATACCAGGTAAAAAAAACAACACTTGTTCCTTTTTAGTACTGAAAACTTAAAAATTAAAAAAAAATTGTCCTGAAACTTTTCTGACAAGGGATGTAAAAAATTATCGTGGTAAGAAATAAAGCACCTACGGAATCATCAAACAATATGTGTTTAATTTTACCTGATAGTCATTTCTCCAAATCTTCGTAGACACGTGTTTTAAGACGTTTTAAACATTTTAAATGTGTTTTTTGCATAATAATTTGTGAGTGCGAGAAGGAATGAGGAATATTCTTATCTCTATCTAAATTTCATATTGTTGAATTAAATGATAAAATTTTACTGAAAACGCAAGAAGGAAACTTGATGAAAAAAGATGAAAATGAGTAGAAAGTTAATGCAGTTAATAACAGTTAACAGAACTTTAAAATTCTGAAATTAATTATTAAAATTCAGTATTTAATTAGTCTCTTTTTTAAAACTGGATTATTAGTTAGACTCTTTATAAAGTTGGACTGGTAGTGCAAACACACATTTACGTTCGCGATGTTATCATCAAGCAGTGATTAATAGGTGCTTTATTATTTACCACGATACTTTTTACGACGATGTTTCAAAACTGCAAAGTTTCTGGATTGCTTATTTTCTATGACGATATTTCGAGAGGTCCAGGGTTTGAGTCTTGGTGAGGGTATCGTTCATTTTTCACTTCTCCAGCATCAAAAAACTCTGTTGACTCTAACTGACAGTGGCGCTCGAACTAAAAGGTGGTGGATGATGATTCTTCACCACCAGAATTTCGCGACTGGATCCCCCAATTCCCAGTCGCCCTTTAAAAAGGGATTTTCTCCCTCCTTCCTGCATGCCTTCGTGGTGTACCAGTAGCACCCTCGGCGCATATTCGAGTGGTCCCGGAGAGGCCATTGCTGAATTTTCACATCTCTTGTATAAAAAAACAACCCTAATGACTTTACATTTGTCGCCCGAATTAAAAGGTGGTGGATGATGATTCCTTACCACTAGGATTTGGCGACTGGGTCCTCTAACCTCCATTCGCACTTGAAAAGGGGGATTATATAAGGTATTTTGTCACTCCTTTCTGCATGCCCTCGTGGTGTAATGGTTAGCACACTCGGCGCGTATTCGAGAGGTTCAGGTTCGAGTCCCGGCAACGGCACTGCTGATGTTTCACACTCCCCACTTCAAAAAATCCTAATGACTCTATACCCTACTTTCCCCTTTCAATACTCAAAGAACTGTCACCGGAATACGGATGATGGGACTCGATCAGGATGTTTTCCGCCACCCTGAGTCAGAGAGTTAAAGGAGAGAAACTATACTTAATAAATCCTTTCTGGTTTTCTCATTTATTTATTTATCTTAAGAAAAGAATTTTCAAAGAAATAATGATTCAAAGAAATAATTTGACAAAATGATAAAATAACGCAATTCCATTACCCACTGTAATCAGTGATGGTGAACAAGTTGTCAGCTTGATCTGTGGCGTACGATATGGGTGTCCCATAATTCAAATTATCATTGCTAAGCATCCAAAAGCATACAGTTATTTCGGTGAGATCTCTCGGTAAGTAGTCCAACTGCACAAAATCCAAGATTCCAGAAGATGGGAAACGCAAAAGAAAGTCCGAAGATAACTCTGAAAACAGAAGAAAAAAGGATTTTATACAATATAGCTAGTTATACTTCCATGCGATGCTTTTGAGTGTAAAATATAGACATACCTGTTTCGCAAAGGTCACCAACGTACGAAGGAAGGCATAAACATTTAAATCCAGCAATCATGTCGATGCACGTTGCACCGTTCATACATGGCTGTAGCTGACATTCATTGATATCAATTTCGCAGTATGTGCCTTCAAATCCAGCCAAACATTCGCATCTAATAAGAAAAAAATATATTGTTATTGAAAAGTATCTTCTTAAATATATTGTTAGTCCAAAGGGGCAATTTGCTCTGGAGGACTAAAATTATTAAAAATATAATTTCGTTCTGGCATTTTGCGTTGAAAGCTATAAACGGCGAACAACTTTTCAAATTGTTGCCACCAAATATGATCGCCCTATATTATATTTAAAGAAATCAAATAATGGAGAAGCTGCATAAATCTATGCATGTTTCTCGCATTTTGATAAAACAACGGTACTTAGAGCCATCAAAATTTGAATAACGTAATCTTCCATAGAACATGGTCATGTGGAAGCTCTAATTTGAATTTAAAATTTGTTTTATTATCGATTTAATATTTAATAACACTTCAACGAATTTTTGATTAACAAACTAAACAATTTCAAAGCGAGCGATGGCAACACTGTACGAAATTTTTTTTTATCTCCAGCGCGCGGGAATTTGCATCCAAAATTCTAAAGACATGTTCATTTTAAAATTAATTTGCGATACTGCTGTTGAACAGAGAATTTTATGGTTTTAGTGCGAAAAACAGAATGTTTAATAAATAAAGATAACACACAAAATGTTAAAAAATGCCCCTTTGCACGTAATTTAAAAGCTGAAACCTTTCAGATTTGTTTTACTATTACTCGCTTTTTATTAGTTGTATCTTGTTATATATATTATATTTTTGATTATCATATGCCGTATCATGTAGTATTATACCATACGTAATACACATACAGTATGTAATTTTTAGTATCAATTGCATCACGTGATATCAAGCATAATAAGTTACCCTATATCATGCATGTCATTCAACGTTAGGTTTCATATGGCTTTATATCTTTGTACCATGTACACTGACGCAAAATAAAAATGTGACAATTCTACGTCTCCCGTTCTACTGGGCCAATTGACGAAATTTAAACTGCGTTCTGCACGTCTCGAAAGCGCAACTTAGGATATACATTAGATTTATATATAGCATTTTTCTAATAAAGTTATTTTGTTACAAAATAGGACTTCTTCTGAAATAGTACATTAATTTTTTCCATATTTCGATTCTACGGTTCAAATCATATCAAGCTGCCAAGTGTTGCAAAAAAAAAAAAAAAAAAAAAAAAAGAGCTCTCAAATTTTAGCTTCCCCATGTTAATTGATGTATATATTTATCTTGTGTATATTTATTAATATCTCTTCTTTCATTAAATTTATTTGATATTTCCTTTCACATTTCTAAATTTAGGTTCATTCTAAATAACATTTACCCATTTTTTATGATTTATTTTTAAATAATTTTTATAAATTTTTCGGAAAACATTTTGAATTATAACCTGTAATAATTTTAGCATCATCTTAAAGCAGATGTATTTCTAACCATACCTACAAAAATAGTTTAAGAAGTAGGTTATAGTTATACTAAATATATGGTTAGATAAAAATAATAAACGCTGAACTGAAGGTAAAGGTATTCAACTGACGTTAATTGTCGTTTTTCTTTGAGGATTTCAAGTGATATGCATAGCTGTGCGAGTGGGAAGCCGGCTGATATGAATTATACCTGTATTTAATAAAGCTGCGGTTAAAACAGAGCAGCTACTACAAAAAAGTGCAATAAACGATCCCATTGATCACCGTTTCCATCTGCAGCCTTACAGATAAAATGCATATCGGCGAGCTTCGCTTTTGGATAACAATTCACACCACCGGAGACTGGAGACTATCAGTTAAGGGGATATATGACATAAAAATTTTTAAATTTTCAATTTTGTGCTAAAAAAAATAAAGTAGATTATAAGTCTCTCTGGCAAAAACCTACTGTCAAATTGCATTCATGGAAGGCCTCCCGAAAACCCGAATGAAAATTTAAAGAATTGCATCTGGACAAGCATACCAAAAACTGTTTTTGTGAGTGTCATCACATTAAAATTATATTTGTTAGATGCGATAATATTTTTTAATAACAGTGTACAAAACGATAATATAATAATGAAATTATTAGGAATACAACCAGGATTTTGTAAAGTCTCTATGGTAAGTCTTTGCAAAAAACAGATTGTGATAGACTTCGTGAGGCTCATCTCGCTTACCAAAAACTTTCTAAAATGGCCAGAAAGAAATATAAATTAATAAAACAAGAACAACTTGATGTAGAAATGTCAAATCCAGATGATTATTGTGCAAGAAAATATTAAAACGATGTTTTTATATAAATTATTACTGTTTAAATGTTTTTTTCTGTTTTCCTCAAAACGTGTTTTTTTATATTTCGGTACACTTTTCTTGAAACCTATTCATCCTGAAAGGTTTAAATTTTCCACAGTTGTTTATTTTAACTATTTCGTTGAAACTATTCAGGATATAAAATTTATGATCATTAGTTTTGGATATATTAAAAATTTAGTACTATTATTTTATACGATTTTTAAAACATTTTACTAATTTATTTGTAATATTTTTTTCTTTTTAAGCAAAACGTAAATTACTGCTTATTATTCTTAAATGATATGTTTTTAACCATCATGCGTTTGAAGGAGTTTGGTGCAATATTCTTTAAGAAAGGTGTACCAAACTAGCAAACTGTCACAAAAGATTCGTCAAAGATAAGAGAAATTAAACAACTAGTTCTTAAAAACATTAGGCTTTTAATTTATATTTTATGTGTTTTTTATTATCTACAATATGTTTATTTTAAATGAAAAAAAGAATCTAGAGTATAAGTTTATTTTGAGAAAAGTTATACCCTAATAAATTTTGTCTCGAAATAGTTGCATTTTGCCTGTCGAGATGGCACATGTCCCCTTAAAGTAAGCCTCCATATTGAGTAATTATGCACTTTTCAACTTTTTCATCTTTTCGGCCTAGCTAGACTGCTACTGTGCTGCCCTTTTGTTACTGCCACATTATCAAAAATCGTAAATAATCTCGAACAGACACGATTAGTGAGTCAATTTGCTTGTGGCTGAAAAATACTTAAATAAAAGAAACGTTAATCGAATCTACTACGACTACGTTTTATTGCATCTACACGACATCTAAATTGATTCTTCGTTACGGGTAATTTTACGTATGATTGATTATGCCATATTCTAATTGCTAACACTTAAACTACTGCATCTCCTTCAATCACCAACAGATGGCGACACGCTAGTTGACCTTCTCAAGACATCACTAACTCTAAATCCAAACTTCAGGCACACCTCTGATCTTTGACGATACATCTCGACGTTCACGCGGACTTTGACTACCAACTCTTCAAGAACTTACTACAGCAAAAACTCAAGAAATTTCCACTTACTTTAAGTGGATTCCAGTTCTCGTTTCACTGCGAAAATCCCAGTAGGGAAAAATAACTGTGGAGTAAAGACTTCAGGGTCGAAGCTTCGTCCCAACCATAATTCACGCCAATTCGCCATCGTCATTGAGAACGTGGAATAGCAATGATGGAAGGTGATTGCCACGGTCAGCGTCGGACAGCGTAGCTCCTATGAAAGGAAGGGCTACAGGGTAGTGAGATCCATCGTCGCATGGTGTCGGCGTGCTGGAACCAAGCACCCTCAATGCGTACCGTATCCCGTTAGTTGGCCAAGTTTAGCAGTGGAGTGGAGACCGCAGCCAAAGCTGTCAGATCGGGACGACCACGAACATCGCACACAGCATGACAGCCGTGTCGGATTTGATCATCGCGAACAGACGTTCAACACTCTACAGGAAGAGACAGGGCCTGCGCAACGAACATGCAGGCGATTGTGTATGGTGATCTGGAGATGACAAATGTGTGTGCAAAGTGGGTGGACCTCGATCCAAGACCTCGGACTATGCCTTGCTTGACAACATGAACGACGCAGTCAGGGGCCAACATGTTGAACATCTTCTGCCGAATTGCATGCCATAGAGGGCACCAACACCCCTACAGACTGGTTTACCAAAGCCATTTGGGACCTCCAGCCAGATGGGAGAAGTGTATTGACATGGGCGGGGATTATTTCTAACTGATGCACTATCAGTTTTTTGTTAATAAATTGTATTCCGCTCTGTGGCAGCATTTGTGTCATTCATTTCTGTACGACCTAAATATATTATCCCTTCAAAATAGTAAAAGAAAATACCATTAAAATTTAACAATTAGTACAACTCCAGAATAGGTAGTTCACTTACTTAAAAAACATAATATCATCGATGCAAATAGCTTCATTTTTGCAAGGAGAACTTGCACAGTCATCGATGTTAATTTCACAATTTCTTCCTTCAAATCCGGGCATGCATTCACAAGTATAATTTGCTATCAGATCAATGCAAAATCCATTATTCTGGCAAGGGTTACTATGGCATTCGTCGACATTGAACTGACATAGTGGACCTAACACAAAATGCAATACAATTATTTAAAACGACTATTTATTTGTTTTTTCTTATTATTGATTTAACTTTTACAATTGGATTAAAAATATTTTTTATGCTGAATAAGAAGATATTTAAAATATTTAAATTTATGCATGATATTAAACCAGATTTAAAGTAAGCAATCGTACCAGCAAATCCTGGCCTGCAGGTGCAATTAAAGCTGGCGATTCCGTCAATGCAACTGGCACCATTTAAGCAAGGGTCGTACAAGCACTCATCAACATTCAGTTCACAGTGTACTCCTGAATAACCTGGTGCGCAGAAGCATTTGTAGGCATTCACATCGTCTTGACAAGTGGCTCCATTCTGACAAGGGTTTGATTCACATTCATCAATTTCTTTCTCACAGTAAATACCTACCAAAAAAAAAAAAAAAAAAAAAAAAAAAAAAAAAAAAAAGATGTAATTTGAAATTGAGCATAAATATGTGAAAAAATATAGTAAAAATTATTTAATCAAAAAAATCTGAAAGCCTTCAGATCTTACATTACGCCCAAAGGGGGGTTTTTGTAACGTTTTGTGTGTTACCTTTACTTATTAAATAAACTCATGTCCATAAATTAAGGATAATTCGGAGTCACGCGGAAATCGAACTCTAAAATAAATATATCTTCTGTAAAATCACTACACACATCTTCAAGAATCATATGCAAATTTCAGGAAGTAACCAGATGACACCGATGGTACGTCACAATGACGAGAGTGTAAGAGAGTGATATATAAGGAATACAGGGAAAGAAGTAAAATTGTTTGCAGGCGCTTTATAAGCATTTCAGTGCAATAACCGAATAGTTATGACACAAAGGACGCATTTGGATGATTTTTTATGTGGTAGAATTATCGGCCGCCTGGAATGTGGGCGTACCCGACTGGAAGTATCAGAAGAACTTGGAATTGCCAAGAGTGTCATCTCCAGGCTTTGGAAACGATTCCAAGATGATGGTAATGTGAGTTGACGTTACAGCACAGGTCGCCCCAGAGTTACAACGCCGAATGAGGACCGGTATTTGGCAGTTACTGCCAAAAGAAAGAGGCGGAGCACAGCCTCAGACCTGTCTCGTAAGCTCTCTTCAGCCACTGATACGACAATTTCAAGGCAGACCGTGTACAGACGCTTAGGGCAGATTGGTCTATATGCTCGTAGACCTGTCAGATGCGTTCCACGTACTGCAACTCACTGTCGCCTGCGGTTAGCCTGGAGTAGAGAGCATTCATTGTGGACACCGCAACAGTGGGCTTGTGTGATGTTTTCCGACGAGTCCAGGTTTAGCTTGCAGTCTGATTCTCGCCGGACTTTCATATGGAGAGCTCCAGGTACCCGTTACTACCAAGAAACACATTGAACGACACCGTTACGGTGGTGCAGGAGTGCTAGTTTGGGGTGGAATTATTCTGTGTTCCAGAACTGACCTGCATGTTCAAATTGGAACCATGACAAGCCAAATCTATTGGGACTTCATTCTGGAACAACATGCACGTTTGTTTCGGGGCGCCATAGGCGCACAATTTGTGTTTATGGATGACAACGTCCGTCCTCGCCGTTCAAACATCGTAAGCGCATGCCTTCAATCGGAGGATATAACCCGTATGGACTGGCCAGCATTCTCACCGGACTTGAATCCAGTAGAGCACGTGTGGGACATGCTTGGCCGAAGAGTTGCAGCCCGTCAACCTCCTCCTACATGTCTACCGGAACTTCGAAGAGCATTGCTTTTTGAGTGGTGTAATATTCCCCAAGATCAGATCGATAATTTGATAACGGGAACTTCGGAACCGGAACCGGAACTTCGAAGAGCATTGCTTTTTGAGTGGTGTAATATTCCCCAAGATCAGATCGATAATTTGATACTCAGCATGCCTAGGCGTTGTAAGGACTGTATTGCATTGTCTGGGAGACATACAATGTATTAACATTGATACCAACCATGTAATATTGGTTTTTTTGTAAATACGATTTTTTTGTAATTTGCTCCAGGGAGAAAAAATCGCTAATTTTTTTAATAATATCAAACATGTAGCATCTTTTTTTGCTCTTTACCTTTTGTTTAATAAATAAGCTTTACAAATAAGTCAAATTTGTTTTGATTCTAACTCTTCCTTTGCCTGATTTTGCATTATCCTTAATTTATGGACATGAGTGTATAATGTTCTTCGGACTTCAACCATAAAATCCACTTCAAGAGCAACATAGCAAAATAATTTTAAAATGAGCATGTCTTTAGAATTTCTGATACACAATCTCGCGCGCTGGAGATAATTTTTTTTTTTTTTTTTTTACCCAGAGTCCAAAGGGGCTTTGACCCTGAGGGATTATTGTCTTCGTTTCGGCATTTTGCGTTGAAATCTTTAAAACGTTGTATCACTTTTAAAACTGTTGCCACCAGATATTATCGCCATGTATTATATTTGGAGAAATTAAATTATGAAGAATCTGCATATGTTCCTTGCAATGGGATAAAACAATGGTACCTAGAGCCATCGAATTCTGAATGACGTAATACTGCTGCGAATAGGGGCACCTGAGAGCCCAAATTTGAAATTTGGAATTTTTTTTATTATCAATTTCATATTTTGTAAAACTTTAACAAATCTCTTTTGATTAACAAACTCAAGCATTTCTCTTTTGATATCTCTTTTGATTAACAAACTCAAGCATTTCTCTTATCTTTTCACTTTATCACTTTTGATTTATCTCTTTTGATTATCTCTATTTCACTTTATCTCTTTTGATTAACAAACTCAAGCATTTCAAAGCGAGCCATGGCAACATTGTACAGAAAAAGCATTTTTATCTTCAGCGCATGAGACTGTGTGTGTGTGAACGCTCAATTTAAAATTATTTTGCGACATTGCTCTTGAACTGAACTTAATGGTTTAAGTGCGAAGAACATGATATTTAATAAATAAAGGTAACACAGAAAATGTTAAACAAAGTCCCTTTGGACGTAATTTAAAATCTGAAACCTATCGGATTTTTTTTCCCCGTACAGTTTTGCCACTTCTCGCTTTGAAATCGTTGAGTTTGTTAATCAAAAATTCTTTAAAAATTTACAAAATATGAAACAGATAATAAAAACAAATTATAAATTCCAAATGTGGGCTTCCAAATGCCCATATTCGGATGGAAACGTATGTTATTCAAAATTCGATGTTTCTAGGTACCGTCGTTTTATCCCAATGCGTGAAACAAACATACATTTATGCAGATTCTTCATTATTTAATTTCTTTAAATATAACACAGGGCTCTAATATTAGGTGGCGACAATTTGAAAAGTGAATTAAAGTTTATAAGTGAATCGATGCAAAATGCCAAAACAAAATTAATAGTCTTTCTGGGCAAATTATCCCTTTGGACTAAAACTATATAAAACAGATTTATGCACCTTAATACTTACTATTGAGGATTTTATTACTAAAATATTGTTTATAAATAAATATTGTTTTCAAGCAGTTACAAGTTGTTTTTTTACAATATTTAAAATATCGTTTTCAAGCCAGTTTTTCCTCTAGTTCTATGGTGATCACGAAGCGATTTTTAACCTGCCATAGAGTTACTCAGACAGAGAAAGAAATGATATTCCTTCTTTTAATTACAATATGACTCAGAATTAAACCATCGAGGTGAATTCAAAATCAATGGTCTTTCAATGAAATCTTTTTTCTTTGATTTATTTATAATATTTATATTTTTGAGTAATTTTTATAAATTTGTCCAAAATATTTTTGAACTAGAACAAGTAAAATTTTTACCGTTACCTTAAAGTAGATGTATTTCTAAACATACATGCAAAAAATTAAATTTTTTTTATTCGAAATTTGCCAAGATATGCGTGAATTTATATATTGGCGAATTTCGAAATTTGGCATATTTGTTATAAGCGATAATGACGCCAAATGAGGTTTACGCTCTTGTTAAAATTATTTAAAAGAATGAATGATGAATCTTTCTTCTGCTCGTGCACTAAGAAAGGGAAAGGAAAATAGGTTACCATAAATTAAGAATTTCGCCAAGTGAAGCATTCTTGAAAACTGAAAAAATTCATTCTTGTAAACTGAAAAATGTGTCCCAAGGTTAATTTTTAACCCCTCGATGTCACCAAACTTTACAATATTTAATATTTAAGCATAATTTGTGCCATAGAATCAAAATATGGAGAAACTTAATGTACCTTTTCAGATAAGGTCCGATTTTGTGTCAAAATACCTGTGTTAGAACATACAAATATACATATATGTATATTTTTTTTACAAAATATAGATATAAATCTAATATACATCCTACGTCGCGCTTTTGATGCATGAAAAATGAAAATTAGATTTCGTCAATCGATCCATTAGAATGGAAGATATAAAACTGTGGCTTTGTGTGAGTGTATGTGGATATATATGTGCAGTGTACCTTTAAATTGAAAATCACAGAAAAAATTTAAATGGCACACTCGGGTTATGGTCAATTTTTAGGGTATTTATACGAAGCACTTATGCGAGAGTATATACGGTAGTTAATTTAATTTTCAAACAGTTTTATGTGTCATAAATCAGAACTGCAAACTCATATACCTCTAACTGCAAAGTATAATAAATATCTACGAAAATCTGGATATTACTTAAAGTTTTATTTCAAATTTATGTGGAAGCTAGAAAGCATATATTCCCATACTTACCAGTATATCCGGGTTTACAGACACACAGAAATCCTATATCCATTGCTTCACAAGATGCACCATTTAGACAAGGTACAGAAAAACAGTCATTAATAGTTAGCTCTGCCGAGACAGGTGCAGCTTTTTTAATCACTTCGTAATTAACTCCTGCGGGGAAATTCATTAAAACGTTTATTTATAAAGATTTTAAACTAAACGTTTCTTAAGAATAAGCTTGAAATAACATCAAGAGGAGAAAATGATAAATTTTAATACATAAATGTATAAATCAATAAACAGAGGTTTAAGAATAATAAATTTTGTTACATATTAAACATAATTTCGCGGTTCTAATAAAAACATTCAGTGGTGTCACAGCCCTAGTGATCCAAGGCCTGCAGTGCCCATATATCTGCTTTCTTCACCGTGGGCCCCGGGGTGCAAGAGCATATGTCCTGGACAAGTGATCAGTTTGTCGCAAGACCCCCCCCCCGGTGTTTAGTCCCCAAGTGAACTTGGTACTCATTTTATCGACCCACCCAAGGGATGAAAGGCTGTGTCAACCTTGTCCAGCCCAGGGATCGAACCCCGGACCTATGGGACTGCTGCGCATCGCGCTAGCCACTGCTGCCACCGGGTTTCAATTTAATAAATTTTATTTTCAATTTTTTTTCATATTCTAAATATTGTTACGAAATGTCCACCACGTGGTAAGATAGCGTCCCCGCAAGGCATGCTTACGGTTGCAATAAAATGCCAAGCAGAGGCAGGGTTGCCAGATTTGGCACGAAATCGCCCATTTGACGACAAAAATAGGCGATATGCCATAAACGGATGGAAAACCTTCTAGAACGAATTCTTACCCTTTGGCCCAGAATATTCTCGAAGGCAGGCCGAAAGCTATACAAACCCTGCTGGTACGCAGAATAGAGAGTATCTCGGAGTCGAGTTGGTCGTCGAGTGTACCGCGAGTTGGTGCATCGAGAATGTGCATCGAGAGTGTGCATCGTTGAGGCTATCGAGTGCATCGCGACTTGTATCGCGGTGAGTCTCGAGAGTACGTGGAGTTCCGAGAACGACCGAACCGAGTCGGGAGCTGCACTCTAGTGCTTTGCCGTGAAGCTGTCTTCACCGTCCTAGCCTGAAGGCTGTGTTGCTAATTATTTCAGCGTGTTTGTCGTAGTTTTTCGACGAACTGTAAACGTGTTTTTGGAGCTGTCCCCGAGTAATATTGGGTAATAAATTGTGTTTTTGTTCTTCATCAAGTATTCTAGTTACTCATTCTAAATCCACGAGCCCGTAGAACGCAACAATATAATAAAATTAGAATACAACATAATTTATTGTATCATTTAAAGCAACACAAATATAATTTAACTTGTTTATTTATTCCTACCTTCACAAGCACTGACATTTTTAGCTCCCTGCATTCCAGTTCTAGTACTTCCAGGACAGCGAAAGCATGATTTTTCTCCTTTGTGTGGCTGGTAAAATCCATCTGGGCATGGGAAACAAGGTTGCAAACCTATTCTTGACACTTCTCCTGGTGGACAAGGGACTGAATAAAGAGAAAAATTATTAACTTCTGCTTTAATTCAAAATATATTTAAAAATATAGTCAAACATTCACCTGGCGGCCATATCTCTATTTCTAAAAGTAACCACTATATCATCTCTCTAAAGATAATCTCTTCACAGCAGATCAAATCCTTTGGAACTGTGGACAATCATTTCAAACAAAATTTTATCATAATCATGGTTCGGTTATAAGCATTAATTTGCTCAAACATCTTGCCTTTTTAAAATCTTGAACAAGAAAAAAAAATATTTTTTTTTAAATCTAAAAGCTTCAAGTTCTATATTACACCCAAGGCGGCCTTTTTCTAACGTTTTGTGGGTTACCTTTATTAAATATCATGTTCTTAGCACTTAAACCCTAAAATTCAGTTCAACAGCAATATCACAAAATATTTAAAACAGCTTATCTTTAGAATTTCCGACACACAATTTCGCGGGCTGGAGATAATTTTTTTTCCCGTACAATTTTTTTCCGCACCCCACAATTTTGTTCAGCTCACATTTTAAACAATGGACGAATTTAGAAAAGTAAACTTTGCGTAGCTAGCGGCACAGCCGAAAGCAGCACAAGAGACAAGCGAAGAGAAGAAGAGGGAGTTGCAATATAATTAAACTTTTTATATACTGAATTCCATTTCAGATCACATGACACTTTAAAGTATAGAATTTTGGGTTCAGATTTCATCAGCAAGTGCACAGCAGAACTGCAGGGAGTAAAAGTTATTGCTGTTATTTTTAGAATGAAATGGAATTTAAAGGGCTATTAATTTATTATTTGAAAGCTAGATTTTATATTTTACATATTAGATATTTTATATTTTACTAAATTCGTCCATCGTTTAAAAAATTTGAATTTTAAGAATTTTAAAATTATTTATTAATAATCGTAATAAAATTTATATGAGAATTTAATTAAGAAAAAATATATTAAAATTTGTTTGGAATTATGGTAAATGAATGCTATAATTATCAATAACTGTATATTAAATATGAAACATGTTGAGGGAGTATTGATTCAGAAACAGAGGCCTGTTTTACCTCTGCATAATTGTTCCTTTTATCCTCCTCATTTAATATAGGCTTCCGCCTTATTTAAATTTTTATACAAGATTTTTATTTTTTTTTTATACAAGATTTTTATTTTAATGGAGTGTGTGTTTTTTAATATAATGGAATGTTGTAGTGGAATTTCCATAACCACTCATGAAAATTAAATACATGAGTCAGTTTTAAGGTTTAAGTGGTTTTGTCCAAATAGCTGGATATGTGTGTACTAAGAGAAAAGCTCTGGGGTCTTCCAGTTTGAATAAAATACAAAAACTGTAAAATGTAGTAATAAAAGTAAAAACCATAATTTCAATCACGCTGTTTCAAATGATAAGTATTACTTATGAATGTGAAAATTAGTATGGTATAAAATTTGTAGATTTATCATTATTCGCAATAATTAATGGGTATATAAAATTTTATGTCTCTTCTGAATTCATTTTAAAACAGTTTTAATAATTCATCTGGGGGAAAAAAAAAGAGTTCTTTATTCTGTTCTTACATGCAGATGTCACGCGATGGCGTCGTTAAATTGCATTCGATAGCGGTCAAAATGGATATTTTTGATAAAATATGATACTCCGATTATTTCGTGATTACAATACTTCCTTTACTTCGTATAAGGAAGTAAAAAATTAGTGTTAACAGTCATTTAGAATAAAAAATCATCTTTTTTAACAAAAAATTGTAGGCACAGCTTCAGTATAGCCCACCCAGAATTTTAACCAAAAAATATCGCCGAGAGCGGCGATAAATGATATGATGTGGTAACCCATACGCAATGTAAACAAGAGGATAGAATTACGGTTACAGCTAATATAGTAGTCAGCTACATTTATTCAATTTTCAATAAAAATTACTGAGATATCCATTTACTCATAGTTAAATGCACGTGCCAAGTAAAAACATTTTAAAATGATTTCGCATCCTCTGAAAATGCTAATGTTGCAAGAAGATTGCAATAAAAATTGGTATACTTACGTCTACATTCGGTGTGGCTGCGTACGCCTCTTCTATGAGTCGTAGACCCAGGTGGACATGGAATACAGCCTAGCTGAGCATATTCTGGTTGGTAATAGCCAATCGGGCAGGTTTCGCAAGGTTCTAAGCGAGTAGATGAGAAACTGCCTGGCAGACATTGTGCTGAAAAATATTATGAAAGTTTTTTAAACTAAAATATCTGATACGAACACCACACGACTTCCTTTGTGTGGCCTAAATTATACATATTTTTTTGCTGCACTTCATTTGAATTTCATTCCACGAATTAAATGATCCCTCAAGGCAAGTCGAAAATGCCATCAAAACTTGATAATTTTGAAATTAAATACCCAGGTTCAATTTTGTCGTACGCGAAGTCAAATTTCTTGCAATTTATTTTTTCATAACGAGTATTAAATGTCACCAAATATAAGCACAGGAACTGGAAGACCGCATTAAAAGTTAGATTTCGTTATTTGTACAAAATTATTATCTTTTCTTTAAAAAAAAATTGGCATTGCCGTAGCATGAATATTTTCGTCATTTAAAACACTTCTGCAACTGGAAGTGACTACGGACAACTGGAAGACCAACTCGATTGCGAAAATAAAGGCCGAACATATTGTATCGATGTATATATATGCACCAATTATTAAATATATGTGTTCATCAATTAGTTGCCAATTTATTGAGTAAGAATTATGCAGACATAAAGCAATAAAGCAAAACTATGAACAATCAAGCATATACGACAACAAAAATTGAATTTCAAATAAAAAGGATGAAGACATTTATCATAGGACGGGGAAAAATACATTAATCTTACATATATATAAAGCAGAATGTCTGCGTGTTTGTTCGTTCGTGATTAACTCAGTCACTACTATAGCTATCGTCACCAAACTTTCTACAACTCTTTTCTGGGTCCTGAAAGAGGTTGAAGTCCACTTTTTTTGAAAAAAAAAACAGAAAGCTAAAATCAGAGATGTTAATAAACTCTGAAAACGCTAATTTTCGCCCTCATTTTTTCCGAGTGGCAACAGTTTCGCAAGCTGGTAGCAGATTTTCAAATTTCGAAAGTTGTTGCCACTGCTCGCTTTCAAATCGAAGAGTCTGCTGATGAAAAAATTCTCTGAGTTTTACAATGAAGTAAAAATAGCATTGCCAAACATTAAATACATTATTTCTGATTCTAAAAATTCTTGGGAAGCCATTTCGACCGTTTCCATCTTCGTACGGCTTTAATCAGACGAGATATTAATTAAAAACTCTGAAAACATTAATTTTTGCGCTAATTTTTCGAGTGGCAACAGTCTTGCGCGTTGAAGATAAAAATGTTTTATTTCGAAAAGTGTTGCTATTGCTCGCTTTCAAATCGTACAGTTTGTTATTCAAAAATTTGTAAGTTTTACAAAATCTATGCAAATAAAGAAGAATGTCTCTGTGTTTCTTTGTTCGCGTTATTGATTTTTGATCAATTATGATCCATTTTTTGCCACACTGAATCGACTAAAATTGAATATAAATGAAATATTGGACGGAACTTGAGCTTTTACGACCACTTGATTAGAAAGACGAAAATCATTAAGTACTGCGTGCGGATATAAAGAGAGAGAATTAGTTTATTTTTCTATGGAAACTTTTGATGTGGGTTCCCTATCGCATCAGATTGAAAAATGCATGACTATCAATCCTATTTTTTTGCGTCGTTATTCGAGAATGATGACAGCGGTATCGTTCTCTCTGTCGCTAGCTACTTTTCTCTCAATGTAACTTAATTGGCATCAGGTACTTCCACTAGTATTATAGACATGAAGAACATTCGGAAAACTACTGTGATGAAAAAAAAATATGTCTGATTAACGTGCACGGTAATTTTAGAATCCTTAAAAATCAAATTTCGAAAATACCGACTATGCTTACCTTTGCACTCTCCAATGCTCTTTGACTGTCCTGTTGTGGTAGAAGTTTTACTTGGGCAATGTAAGCATGATTCCTGACCTTCCTGGAACTGGTAAGTGCCTGGATCACAAGCTTTGCATGTTTCCGACATAACATGGAAATGTGTTCCCACCGGACATTTCACTGCAATAGCAATTTTACTGAAATTTACTTCAAAATCGATATCAAATTTTGCATTATGGATACTCATAGATTAACTCGTGAGCTGTTTTAATCATAATTATTTGTAATCACACTAAGCAGAACTGTATGAAATACCTTTGCTTTAATCGGTAAAAATACGTTGTTAAAGTTATTACTATAATGTTAGCAATAAAATGTGGAGTACTTAAAATTTCCAATTGATTTAAAGATAGAAATTTAACAGATCCATACATCTATGGTTTTTAACAAGAACTTTGATTTTTAACAAGAACGCTTCACATAATTTCTAAACCGAACTTTAATTGTGGTAATTATAGATCTCTTTAAAATTTACCTTATCATTTTTTCTCCTTATTATATTTTAAATATATCTTTATTACATTACATTCAATTATACAGAAAACTTGATGTGTCGACTTTTGGTTCTGTCTTTATGTTTTAAATTTATACCTAACACGTTCCTCTGGAAAATTAATAAGCTCTTGAAATAACCGATGGTACTTAACCTGTTTTTCTCCCATGTGCTTTTACCACAGGTGGGAAATCACTCCCTCTTCCTTTCCCAAACTCGAAAAAAAAAAAAAAAAAAAAAAAAAAAAAAAAAAAACATAATACATAGATTTATTTTTAATGTATTTTAAAAGTTGAACAACAAAAGATATAGAAAATGTTGATACACACATTGGCCAAGGAATTAGAAACACAAGATGAATATTTTATTGGACTAACTTTTGCACGGATAATTGCTCTGATTTGTTTGGCCTTCGAATCTACATGCTTCTGGAGTGCATGCAAGTCCAGAGAATACCATGCATTGGCTATGCAACTTCTTAGATTTTGTAAATTAGATGGAAGAGGAGAGTGCTTCCGGATGCATCTTTACGCCATATCCCACACATTTTTTGTGAGGCTAAGATCCCGGCTATGAGGTGGCCTAGCAAGGTGTTGGAAGTCAGACTGATGTTTACCGAACCAATTTCAACACTTCTGGCACGATAAATAGTAGCATTATTGTCCATGAAGTATCCGCCGCCATCAGGGTAAAAATGCACTTAGTCTGCCAGTGTATCTAGATATCTCAAGGCTGTTTATTTACACTCGAGGAACAGCGGGGCACAACTTCCCTGCCAGCACAGCATGCCCCATATCATGATACTCCCACTAGACTCTTGCACAGTGCCAGTAAGGCAAAATGGATTCATGGCTTCATGGGGTTCTTGCCAAATTCGACGTCTTCGGTCAGTGCAAAATAAGGTGTAGCGTGATTCTTCCGACCACATGACCCGTTTCCAGTCCTCAGCTGTTCAGTATCTTCTTCCCCGACACCAGTGCAAACGAATTCCTGCATGCCGGGTAGAAATCAATGGTTTTCTCACAGGCACCTGACTAAGCATTCCTATCTTCTGCAAGTGTCTGCGCATGGTTCGAGCTAAAATCTGTTGGGAAGACGATCTGCTCCAGTTGAAGCACAGTAGAGTCCTTGTTCTGCCGTACAATTCGTCGGATACGACGCCGATCATTCTCTTAGAAAACTGTGCTCGAACCGCAGTTACGTCTCTTAAAAAAGGGCTGCGGGTTCTGATTCCAACTTTTTAAACCCTTTAAATGGCTTAAAGTTAAAGCATTAAATAATATTTATCATTATATTGCTTATCTGAACTGTTATTACACAGGCAAAACAAATGATAATTAAACAAATTTCACTATTTAGATTTATTCAAAGTAATAATTGATAGTCTCGGAATACCTACGACAGATATTGCCTTTGGCAACTGTTCCAGTTTCGCAAACGAATATCGGTTCGTCTTCATCAAATACCACGTACTCAACGTGCAGCCTGTTGTTCCCCAATGAAACATCAAGTTCGCCATTGTGCGCGGCATCTTGCAATAACAGCATCGCTTCTTGAACGCTGTTCATAAGGTTATTCTGCTCTTTCCTCTCTTCCGAAGTATCAGCTATAATTCCTAAACGAAGGAAAATGCATTACAAAAATAATAATAATAATAATAATAAATAAAATAAAAAAATAATAATAAATAAATAAATGGATATTCCGTCCATTAAAAAATGGATATTCCGTAGGTCTATGCCTCGTAAAAACCAGTAGACAAAACACGTACACCTATATAGGTATCCATAGGCCAAATTCCTGTAAAAACTAGTACACAAAAATCTACAATTCAATAAAGGTACCTCTTGGAAAAACCGCTGCACAAAACAGTAGACAAAAACCCATAAACAAAACCAATAGAATTATACCGTAGCGGTAGCGTAGATTTGGTATACAGGAAAATTCATTATGTTTAGCTTGTAATTCACCTGGCTCCGCAGTGCACTTCGAGTCTGAATGTGAATTACCCATAAAGTGTACGACAACAAATGAAAATTGCAAATTTTGAAAATATAAGTTATGATAAATTACGCAAGTTTTTCAAAGAGATTGTAGACGTTATTAATGGTAAAAGGAGTGTGTGGCGTTTTGTATAATTAAAAATTATAACTGTGTCGACTAAAAATTGTCTCTTAATTGCTTTTGATGCAAAAAATGCACAATTTACCATCATATAAAAATAAAAAAACTGAGCTTAAGCAGCCAAATAACAGAGTGGACGTATATATATGTTATTTATCCAAGTTTTAGGAGGCTGATTGCAACCAAAAAGGGAAGTACTTAACCAGATATTATAGTAGTTCCATATACAAAATTTCAGTGTTCTACGACTACTCGTTTTTGAGTTATGTGAGGTACATATATACGTATGTACAAACGTCACAAAAAAAAAAAAAAACTCTTTTGTAGCCATATTAAATCCATTTTACTATCCGTTTTCAGAAAACAAAAGTCCTTTATTCTCTCTGTACTTATAGCTGTAACGCAAAAACATTGTTCAAATGGATGCAAGACCAGTTGCAATGGATATTTTCTTTTGAAACATGATATCCGAAATTTTTCGTGATTACAATACTTCCTTTATTTCGTACAAGGAAGCAAAAAAAAAAAAAAAAAAAAAAAAAAAAAAAGATTACGAACATAATTTCATCTTGGTCATGAAATATAAAACAGCTGTAACATACCCGAGTCTGAACGAAATAATTATTATTAGTTATAACTCGAAGAAAACTGCTTACAATTCAATACTTTAATTTCTAAAGTCTCTTAAAGGTTAACGATAGCTATGTTATCCAAATTTAAGCTGTTTCCAAATGTAAATAAATAATAAATGTAATTATTCACTCGAGTTGAAAGCTCCTAATTTAACTTAATAATAGTGGCAACACTCGACTTAAATTAGGCTACAAAATTTCACAGGCATTAGTTTGTACTACAAAACGATCGCACTGTGTTATTATAAATGTCTTCTTTAGGGTTATCTATTTTTTAAACATCGTTTACATTGTACGCATTTCCTGCACAATCAAACCTATAAAAAAACAAGAAGAGAAAGAACAGCTTGCTTAAAGAGCTTAATTATTAGATAAAACATAAACCTTACAAGTATCCCAGGCAGCAGTATATAAAACGTCTTTAAACCGACTTTCCGCTGAAAATTCTGTATTGCACTGATGCTCCATTTTCATATAATGAGAAAGAATTTTTTTTACGAATACAGCTTCTTTCAGTGTTTCCCTTAAAGCTCTACAGCTCTATATGATTACACACTTTGACGAAACAAAGTGTATTTCGTTAATTTCCAGTTAAATAAACTGGAAATTAACGAAATACATTACTGTGTGTATTGCAATGATATTGTTGCGCTTTTTTACAGGTTTGGGGATTTAAAGTGATTAACGACGAAACTTGATGAAGTATCAAAACCCAATTTATTTATCCAGTATTATTCAGAACAGCTCCAGAAAGCAAGTTTACAGTCGTCGTAAAACTACGAAAAACACCCTGACACAATCAGCAACACAGTATTCAGGCTATAACGGTGAAGACAGCTTCGTGGCAAAGTACCAGAGTACAGCTCCCGACTCGGTTCCGTCGTTCTCGGAACTCTACGTACTCTCGAACTCCAGCCTTCAGGCTATCAGGTTATAATGGTGAAGACCGCTTCACGGCAAAGCACCAGAGTATAGCTCCTGACTCTGTGAGGTCGTTCTCGGAACTCAACGTACTCTCGAGACTCTCCCCGCTACAACTCGTGATGCACTCGACAATACACTCGATAGACTCGACGATGCACTCTCTAAACTCGCGATACTCTCGACGACCAACTCGACACTAGACTGACGATCAACTCGCTAGACGAGGCACTGACTCACTCGACTAGATTCTCACTCACTGACTGCTACTCCGTGTGCACGAGGCACATGTGAAAATGGCGATCCGCACAGAATAGGAGAATTAAAAATAGTGTCACACCAGCTCTCAGAAGCTCAGCATCGAATCTCGTCCATCAAATATCTCCATCTGCCAGAAGATTTTACCGATTCTCCATCTGGACTACTACTCCGCGTACAGGTAGGGTTTATATAGCTTTTGGGTTGCCTTCGAGAGCATTCTGGTCCAAACCGGTAAGAATTCGCTCTAGAAGGTTCCGCTTATGGCACATCTCCAGTTTTCAAGCCAAATGTCGCCAAATGGATAATTTCTCGCCAAATATGGCAACCCTGTCTTCCCTTGCCATTTTTTGGAAACCCTAAATCCGTCTTGCGAGGAAGCTATTTTACCGCGGCTGGACATTTCGTAAAATATTCCATTTCTTTTTTTATTTACAAGCACATTAACATTACGAGTTGATAACCTGTTGTTTTTTAATTTATGAATATTGATGATAATGTGGCTTTAAGAGAAAGTCAGTTCGAAAATAAGCGCGTTTACAATGTTGTATTTTCTAAATTATTAATTCGGAACAGGAATTTTTTCTTGTTATAATTAGCATTAGCTTCAACGTTTTGGCATATGTCTTGTATTAAAACAATAGCAGGAAAAATTAAAGGAACAAATGGCCCGTGTGGAAGGTGTGAATGTGGCACGTGTGGAAAGGAGTGCTAGGGGTTGATTTAAATTCTAATTTCAATGTCCATACGAATAGTTGAATAGGACGTTCATATGCGGATGGTTGAACATGTCGTTGAGAATGTATCTGACTGAGGGTTGAAAATGGTATGCCACTAGAAGAATGGATTCAAGAGCTATACTACTATATAGCTAAAAAATTTGTAGAGATCTAAGTGTAGTCAAAAAAAGTTCCGTGAAGAACCTAGAAACGTTTTAAAAATACTGGTAATGGATGCAAACAACCAAGACAAGGTAGGAAATGTAACATAAGAGATTTTAAAATCGTTGTTTTAAAACTGTTAAAAGAAACAGACAATAGATGTCAGCTCAGATTGTAAGGGAATTCGGTGCAGATACAGACACTGGACTATCCAGATATACCCTGAGTTTAAATAATGGAGCTGAATGCAGGAAAACCAAAGATTTTGTCCCGCTAATTGGGGCTGCGAAATGCGCCTGGTTCCAGTAGAGCGGATTAGCACACGCCTGTTGATGTGATGGACCAGAAAACATGATTCGTCGGACCATGCAACTTCCTTCCATTCTTCTGATGCCCCATTCCGATATTTCTTGGTCTACTGCAGACAGACACAGCTGGAGATGACGTGTCGTCAGAGCAGGGACACGGCTTCGGCCTCCGGCTGCGCAGGTCCATATGCAGCATGTACGCTGCATAGTGTGAAACACTGTATGGGTCACCACTGTTGTAGCTGGTGGTGATTTCGGCTGTTGTAGCTCTTCGGTCACGACGAACAATGCGTAGCAATCTCCGCTTTCCACCGGAATCAATGCGCCGTCGACGTCACGCTGCTGGCCGGCGACTTGTCGTTTCACCATCCATACACCACCTTGGATATTCGTATGAAAAACAGTTTTCCATCGCCGGGGCTATAACAAGGAATTTTCTAAATTTCTAGTCATATATGCTAAGCCCTTACACAACGACATTATGCACGAGGAAATAGAGTCATTTCTTAGAAACATAATGAACCAAGACAGTCTGTCTAAGAACATTCCCGTTCTTCAAAATTTATTGATTATTATTTTTCTGTAAAAAACTGTTTGACTCCCTCTCCCCAGCCACAATAAAAGAATAATACAGTTTCAAATACAGGATTACGAAATTATTAAGACCAAATTTCCTACCTTTTAGGTGAAATTCTAATTCAATTTTATTCTGAAGTACTTCTTCTAACATCGAATCAGTAGAAGGAGGGACATCGGAAGACGTTCTAGGCGGAGGCAAATCGCGAATTTCCATTTCTTGTGCAGTTGCACTAAATCCATACAAGGATGACCCTAAATCCTGGCTAAAGCTTTTGTCCACACGATTCGAAGGATCGATGATTTGAGAATCTTGACTTCCGAAGGTGAGCGTGCGATTCATTGCTCCAGACTTCGCAAGAAGATGTGTGTGCGGAACACCTCGTTTAAACCGGTAAAAATGTCCACGAATTTCGTCCCACAGTTCACGTTTTCGACGGTAAATACTGTTCGAATTTTCTTCGATTCCTAAAAAAAAGAAAAAGTGGTCATCACATATTGAAGAAGAAAATTTAGAGTAAATGAAATAATCGGTAATTTAATGAATACATGAAACACCGTAGTTTATAATTCGATAGAAATAAAATGAACTTACATGTAATAACTAATACACGTGATTTTTCCTCACACACAACATTAAATATGTCCTTTGAACATTTACTACATGGGCTCGAATGTTATGCATTTACAGTTTATAACCGTAACACTCCATTTATAAAAAGACAAAAAAAAAATGTACTCCACAATCTCACACAAGTGTTAAAGTTACCAACAACGGCAAAAACTGAAAATTCTCAAGTTTCTTTAATTTTACTGGGAAAACGTTTCTTACCTGAATATGTAGATGGAAAATCAAATCAACCGAAGTGGGGGGGGGATGATTTGTTTGGGCATCACTTGATAACTACCAATCAAAGTGTCAGCTATTTTGAACGCGAATGGTTTGTTTGACAATTACTTTTATGAGTTGATGTGATCGTTTTTGCGAAAATGGAAAAAACTGAGTATCGCGCTGTCATTAGATACCTGTTTTTGAAACGTAATAACGCCTACTCAGATTAAATAGGAGTTGGACACAGTGTACGGGAACTCTGCACCATTATTTACTACAGTGAATATTTTGGGCAGTTAAATTTAAATGTGGGCGTAGCAGCTTGGATGACGATGAACGCTCGGGACGGCCAAATGCTGCAACCACTAAAGAAAACATCGCTAAAATCCACCAAATGGTGCTGACGACCATCGAATCAAGGTTAGGGAAATTGCAGAGCCTATGAGCATCTCCAAAGAACGTGTTTGCCACACATTGATCCAAGATTTAGATACGCGCAAGCTGGTAGCACGTGAGGTGCCGCGTTTGCTCACTTTGGACCGAAAACGTGTCCGAATGAACATTTCCACGGCTGTGCTAGCGCAAGAAATCGGAGTTTTTTCCACTATTAATCACTGTAGATGAAACCTGGATTCATCATTACAGCCCAGAAACAAAAACACAGTCAAATCAGTCGACTACAAAGGAAGAATTGGTTCCAAAAATGGTAGAAACTGTTCCTTTTGCTGGGAAAATGATGGCAACAGTTTTCTGGAACAGCTATAGGATTGTCTCAATAGATTCTCTTGAAAAAGGGAAACCATTAAAGAAGCATACTATGCAACTTTACTTGACAAGTTGAAGGCAGAAATTACCGATAAACAGCCACATTTGCCAAAGAAAAAAATTTTGTTTCACCAAACAGTGCTTCATCTCATACCTCAGCGGTTGCAATAACGAAAATCCATGAATTGCGAATTGCGATTTGAGCTGGCATCAAGTGGCTTTTTTTCTGTTTTCCCTAAGCTAAAAGAAGCACTTAGAAGACAAAGATTCCCATGAGGAGACATTACAGAGAAAGATTCGGCATATTATTTGGGCAGGTTAAAAGGGTGGGAGCATTGCTGGAATAAAAGTATAAACGTAGAAGGGGACTATGTCGAAAAATAAAGGTAATTTTAGAGGAAAAATATCTTTCTTCTTTTTTAGGTAGGAAACTTTTCAGACAGTGTACGTAAACATGCCGAATTAATCTGTCACCAAGATAGATCAAGCATCATATACACCCATGCTGACTTTAGGGAGTCCAAGAAATATCTATAACATGATTAATAGCTGTTATGTTATGACGTACAAACACTAAAGGTAAAGTGCATATATTTTTTCGAAGCCGATCAGAAATAAACAAATTTGGTGATGTTAAATAAAAACTGATATTATTATTTCAAACAATTAATATAATAATTCTTATTCTATCAACATTCAATAGCACAAGACAACAGAACTATTAAGTATTAAAACATAGTTACACTCTAAAACGTTTCTTTAGGTAACATTTATTCTCATCCTGAGCATTTTCTTCAAGATGCCATGTAAAACGTATTCCAAAAATAATTTGACTGTATGAAGATTTTAAATTTTTCTCATATTAGGGTTCGTTCTCATATATTTAAATACAGGATACTAATAATATTCACAATCCGTTCGCCTAAAATATTAAAAAGTATTTCACTGATGACACTAAACCAATAATGAAGGTTAATTTAAAAATCAAACGACAAAAGTCAGTGTTATATTTAAAAATTTTCCAGGATTAGTTTCGGTGATTTTACTACCTACAGCTGCCAAAGTGCAAATGAACGAGATAACGTATAGTGATAAGGTAATATAAAATTCGGAACTGGGCTTTACTGTCTAGTTAGAAGAGTGACACTCGAAGACAAACCTGGTCTTAATCTCAACACATAATTTTATTTCTTGAAAACTAACTTTTAAGGCACATATTCTTTACACATCATCGTGATGAGGGCGATATGCATTCGACAGCTTTATATAACTTACATTTCGTTAGATTATAGACAACATAGGCACGTATGAACAACAGCGAGCGGAGTAGGAAAAAGGAGCACGCAGCAACAAAGCTCGAAATATATACCCAAAAAATTGTCTTTCATTCGATTGGACAAGAGCTGTCCCACTGCACGAGGATTACACAAACGAGCCTGAAACGTATTAATTTTGAAAAGACGAAGTGCACGAAAATTATTATAAACAAGTTCTACTTTTAGAATAGAAAAAGAGAGATACACAGATTAGAGTGAAAATAGGGCTAATGCCATTTTAAGCTATAATTTTGTTTTACCAATTTTTCATCTTGCATACATATATTATATATACATCTATATAATATAAATATAATGCAAAATAAATTAAAATAAAAGTTTAAAATTCATCCCACATTCAATTCGGAATAAACCATACGCAAAAACAAAGCCAAAAGCACAATGGTAACCTGCAAGAAAAAGGGGGGCCAAAACAAACCTACCAAAATGTCAACCTTCATTTTGGGCCACAGGCGTAATAGCTCCTTAGAGTGTTGAAACCGTTAGGACTTCAGCCAATTTTTTACGATCCAGCCTTGAGCATGGATTCATACCAACAAACATTTCATGCAGTAGTTTTTCTTTCAGCAGGGCTTTAGGCTTAAAAATTATGTTAGCTGGCAGCTTGCTTTCATCAGCAGTGATGCACGGTATTACGATACAATGTTACTACGCCGTCCTCCCGACCCTTGATAGTGTTGCTGTTGTTGCTAATGCTCCACTTGTTTGACCTATAGTCATCAGCCCAAGCCCACGAAATTCTTCGTGGCAAGGAGTGCAAGTTTTACGCCTGCCGTTGGCAACAGTCTTGAGCCTTACAGGTGACAGTGCGATTTAGCTCATTTCCTCCACCAAGTTTGATGGACAACACTCCTGGTTACAAGACCTTCTTGATGGGAGAAAACCGAATCCAAAGGGGGTTCTCTCCTGATGTGACATCACGAGCGAGGGCTATCGTACTGAGGCCATCTTCTGAGTATGAATGTAAACAAAGCGTACAATTAACCTAGAAATTATGTAGCAGTAACTATTCCTTAACTAGAGTAAATTTAATTTTTAGCAAGATATATCGAAAGTTAAGTTTATTTACTAGTTCACTTTAATGTTTTCCTTTAATTCATTCTGTTTGACCTGTACTTCTTAAAATTAGTTCGTTATACAAACAAATATTTTTATGATAAATGCAGGGCTTAATTTCTAAGATTAGAAGTCCCGGAGCCCTATGGAAGACCGTCAGCAGAGAGGAACAAGAGTAAATAAATAAAATGACTATTAAACTGATTAATAAATTTAAAATTAAATAGTTAATTATTATCAAATTAATTACTATACATTTAATTAGTGTTTATAAATTGCTATTTAATCAATAATTATTATATAATTAATTATAATTTAATTGATAATTATTAGAGAGATAATTACTTATTATTTATTGAAATAATTAAAGATTGAAGTAATCAACTAATTAAAATTAAATAAAATGTAAAGAGATAAATTGAAATTTAATACGCGATTTTTAATACAATTTTATTGTTAAAATAAAATTTTCGAGATAAAATTTCTACTGAAATTGTTATTCAATTACATAAACGAAGTGCCGCAGCCTTCTTATTCAGGGCTCCGGTGCGTTCCGGCTAGAATTATGATTTATTACAAAAACTAAGAAGCACCGGAGCTGAGATCCCGTGGGTTCCGGCCCAATTTAAGTTCTGATCGTAGGGAGGGGGGGGAGTACTTTTATCATCACAAAAATTAAATATACTTTAAGTACAGCTGATGAAAATTCCAGGGCGAAACAGAATGAAGGTATGAGTGGGTGGAAACAAAAAATGAGGGGAATCTTCGTGAGAGAGAACGTTCTCTTTGACCGCGGCTCTCTGTTGATATAATTATAGCCATCAAGCCATGGAGGTAAGAAAGGATTTCCTACCTCCAGATGCAAGGGTGTCAGGGGTAAATGAGTCGGACTCCTGAATGCATGGACTTCTAGGAAGTTTCTTACCTCCATGCCTAAATGTAAAGTTGCTGGTTACGCTTCCCACCCCATTAGTGGATACTGTGGGAATACGATGTATAGGACGTGCTTGAGCAGTTTATCTCAGTATTTTCTCTCTTACTGTACTCTCTGTCACTTAACGCCACATTTCAGAATACAAATTTTCCTTCTTGCGAGGATAACTAACTGTAAGCATCGGTAACAATACACTAGACAATGGCATGGCGAGAAATTTAGGCGTTCCTAAACAAACTCCTCCAAATTTATTGCTTTTCTTAGAGGGAAAGGCATGTGAGTGCATGTTACTTGAAAGTCTCATGTTCTCATGAGTTCGCATTTCTAGGGAAATAGAGTATTGCAAGGTCTGCGTATTGTTAAACTAAAACGTTGTGAATTCTAATTTTTTTCCCTTTAAATTGTAGTTCAGTTTTATAAAAAGAAGTACGGAGGCTAAAATTGTAATTTATCTTAAAAATTGAGAAGCACCGGCGCAATTTAAGCACTGGATAAATGCAAGCTAAAGAGACTTCCCCCCATTTTTATCCATTTCTAACACATT